TTGGGAGCCTCGGACTACGGTCCATGTCGCATCTGACACTTCAACTTCGTGTTCGAGGCGGAGGAGGTAGGCTAACACTCTTATCCATCCGAGAGTTCAAGCGGTGCTGATGCTGGCTGCACTGTAGACACTCCTGATCCTGCTGCCACAGACGAAGGCCGAGCACGGCGCGTTGGCCGGCCAAGTCACCGAGCAAGAGATCCAGACAATGCTGAACAGCCTACGACACGTGGCGCACGGTCGGACGTGAATGTGGCTAGCGAGCCTTCTCAGAGCAAGACGGCTGGGAAAGGCAAAGAGAAAGATACAGGCAAGTCAACACGAGATTCATTGTAATGCTGCTACCTAACCGCAGTCTGCGTCATCGCGCCACAGGGACACCTTTCAGTGAACATGCATCACGGACGGTCATTGAGATTGATGATGACGAGTCAGACTCTCCGCGTGCCCCAGGATCTCGAAAACCGGCGGGGAAGCGAACTCGAAGAGCAGAAAGCTCCGACTCAGAGGATAGTGACTCAGGCGGTGGACGGACAATTGCCCGGCGGCCCAAAAAGCGAGGTATGTACTTACTACTCCGTGCGCATGTTGAGGATCTCAAACTGAGTTGGTTGTGTGGTGCCACGGTATTCGCAGTCCGTCGCGATTCGGCAAGGGAGGGTTCCCAGAATCTACTCGGCGCACACGAGCCTGACGATGGAGGCGCAGTCGACGGAGACGGCATGCTCAAGGACCTTGAGCATATCAAGCCTGTCGCGGCATCCGCGAAGGCAACCAGAGCGGACAAGACAGCCGATGTCAACACATTCTTCAGGAAGGCATATGACCGGAAGAGCCCTAAGGATGGCCAACTTCAGAAGGTTCGCGATTGCGAACTATGCAAGTAAGTCTCATTGAATGTGTAGTCATTCGGAACGAACCTTACGTCCGTCACATTCACCAGAACAAAGCATATTGGCGACTACACGTTTGTACAGGACGTGTCTACATTGCGGCGACACCTGGCTGCACATCATAAGGTAATGTGAAGCCAGTGATCACTGGAACACTTCGGTCCGACTCGGAGTCCTACTAACACACACTTATTCAAGGCAAAATATTACAAGTGGTGCGACAGGAATGACTGCGAATCCAAGCTCGAGGACGACGTTAAAGCGAGAGCTGCAGCTGCGGCCGAGTCGCAGAAACAGACAACACTCGATGGACATGTGCACAGCGGGCCTCCTGTCGATCCTGTGGTTCCATACTCTGATAGTGCGTTCAAAAGCGCAGCAATTGAGTGGCTTGTTGCCACTGATCAAGTACGGCACAATATGTCTCTCCCCTCCTTTTCGAGTGCTTATCTTGTTGCGTGCTACAGCCTATCGGCGCGTTCGAGCATCCAGCTTTCATTAATATGATCAATCTCGCCTCCCGTGCGAAGGGCGCCGTCACTCTGCCGAAACGTGCAGCTACTCGACAAGAAATCCTCGCCCAATTTCATCAATATCTTCGTGACTTGAAGAAACGATTCGCGGTACGTTGTATCCATGATATGTTGAACAGTCCGAGTCTGGCTACTGAGTCGAACATGCTCTATGCCAGGGGAAGACGGTGAACGGACGGATCTGCTTGACGTGTGATGCATGGCAAGCGAGCAACGTAGACGGCTACTTCGCGGTGACTGCTCACTGGGTCGAAGAGCGGTCTGACAACGATTGGATACTGGAATCCGCTCTCATAGGTTTCGTGCGCATGAATGAGTCTCACAGTGGCAAGCGGCTCGGTCAAGCCTTATTCAAAATTGCGACGAGGGTAGGGATCACTGATCGTGTAGGTACATGCATAACGAGTGAGCTGTACATCCACTAACTACTGAGTGTTGCACAGATCTTCATGGTGACATGCGACAACGCAAGTTCAAACCTCAGAATGATGAAGGAGTTTGCCATTGTCCTCGAGAAGAACCACCCTGACGTGAAGTTTGACGCTGCACGCCGTCGTATAGGATGTCTCGCACACATCATCAACCTCACAACGCAAGCGGTGATCGCGTGTCACAGCAAGTCGCCACATTACGACCCGCATAAGCCCGAGGCGCACATACCGGAGACGATGGTCGCAGTACGTGATGAAATCGGATTAGTCCGAGCTGTATCCGTAAAAGTATGTGAATTATGTGGTGTGTCCGAACCGAGACTGAACTCTACTTGCAGGAACGTTCATCGAGTCAAAGGAAGCAACACTTTCGCGACATACAGGCACATTCGGGCATTGAACCAACAAATATCAAAACACTTGTCGTCGACATGAAGGTACGATGGTCTTCGACCTATGTTATGCTCAACCGAGCATATAGGTTGCGCATGGTGGGTCACACTCGGAACTCAATCCGTCATATATTAATGCAGTTATCAACAGTTCATCCGACAGTTTATGATCGAGCTTTCACGCAAGGCATCAGATGCTCTCACCGCATCCAAGCTCCTCGCACTTATCCCATCTTCTGAGGAGTGGACTCGTGTGAAGACGTTCCAACGGGTTTTGCGTGTAAGTTCACTCTCGACGATTCTAAGTTGTTGCGACTTACGTCTCATGCTCAATGATCCGGGCCCTAGATTGCGGATCAGTGCCAGCAGTGATTTTCCTCCGAGCACAGCCCATCCCTACACCTCGCACTGCCCGCCCTCAAAGACTTGCATACTCAATGGACAGCATTACTCGACAACATGAACTACGAGTTTTTCTGGCCTGCAATTCAGGCGGGACTCAACAAGATAGCTGAGTACTACGACAAGACCGGCGACAACGACGCCTATGTACTTTCTATTGGTGCGTGTACATGCTATCAAACCAGACAATCGACTGACAAAAACGGAGGTCAGTCCTTGAGCCATCAAAGCGTCTCGCTCACTTCAAACAACACTGGAAAGACGAACCGGAGCTCTGTGAGTCGGCTGAAGAGCTCACGAAAGAGGTTGTGAGTAGACGGCGGCATTCGGAGTTCTATCTCGGTGTCTAGGTCACTGATAAAGCTCTGTCTAGTTCAAGGCACGTTACGAACAGACCAAGGGCTCTGCCGGGCGCAGTTCCTCGGCGTCGGGTACCGTCTTCTGCATTTAAATCGGATTAAGTTTGAATCAATATTGTATTTTAGATCAACTTAAAGGCCATACACATTTAACCCAATCCTGTGCTAAGCTATGGCTTAGCCAGTTGCTTGGCCAAGCAGGATCAGTACAGCTAATCCATACAGGTTTAACCATGGATTATCCATTGTTCATCCATTGCTTAGACTTTTTGCTTAGCCAAGGACAATCAGTACAGCTAATCCATACACACTTAACCATAGATTAGCCATAGTTTATCCATTGCTGAGACTTGCTGAGAAACTGCTTAGCCAATTAATTACCCATATAGGATCAATGAAGCTAATCCTCAGAGGATTAATCTTGGCTAAGTAACATCTGACCCATGTCTAATCATTTCCTAACCATAGATTAGCCATGCTTAGCCATAACTTAGGCAATAGATTCACAAGTAGTTGAGGCTAAGTAGGTTTGAGATGAACACTAATCTTCATTAAGTCATGCTCAATCCATGTCTAATCCCCTGCTGATCAATGCTAAATCATGACTTGAGTATTTTTGATCCAGTTCCAATCCAATGTAACCCATGTGAATGTTCATAATCCTATGCTAATCTATGTACTAAGACAAAATATACCAGTCCTAATCCTGTCTCAAGACAGTGCTTAACAATGCTCATGTGTCTTAAACCAAATCCCAATCTATTGCTAATCCTGTTCATGACAGTATGGCTTAGTGCTAACTACTTCAAAGTCAATCCTAAGTCAAAACATTATCCATTGCTAATCCTGTCTATGACAGTCTCAGTTAATGCTAATACACTACAAAGTCAATTGTGAGTTGCAGCATAATCCACCACTCAATCAATATTAAGTCAGTTTAAAGTTCAACTCAATCCACTCTTAAGTCACACAGAGACAATTCCACCAATCCCTAATCCATTACCAAACTGATCCTAAGAACATGCTGAGCCACTACTAATCAACCATGAAGACATGCTAAGCCACTACTGATCAACCACGAAGACATGCTAAGCCAGTACAAATCAACCAAGAAGAAACACTCTGAGTACATACTAAGCCATAAGGAATCAGTCACGAAGACAGTAGATTACTTCCCAATGCCATAGCTGAGCCATCGTAAGTCACTCGATTAGCTCGCCAGTAATCCTCGATTAGCTCGCGACTAATCCAGCTGTCACCCCTCGCATCCACACGATCGTCGCATCAACGCACTCGAGGATCTCGGAAAACAATCCCTGTGCGGAGCAATAAACATTAATACACAATAAATGACCGCGCGACCGTACTGCGCACATGCCACGGCCACAAACCACCAGATGCGGTCACTGAGCGAATGACAACGCAGGAGCACCGGCAGTAGACCCGTCGAAGCATGCATAGGTCGAGACGGAACTCGACTCACCTAGATACTGCCATCGCCCACGCCCCGCCCCCTCAGCCTCCTACAACGCATTGCTGTAGATACCTGACAGAAGAAGACCAGTGAGCTCGACGTACAAAGCACGCAGTCAGACAGGGTGCGTGTCGACGCGTAAATATCAATGTGGCGAGCATTAGCGCTGCGCATGGAGCTTCAACGAAGCTCGGTGTTGACGACGACGCTTGCGGGATGGGGGGTAGGACGGCGACGACGATAGCGGGATGGGGGGTAGGACGGCGACGACGATAGCGGGGTGGCGGGTAGGACGGCGACGTCGATAGCGGGGTGGCGGGTAGAGAAGAGGAAGCACATTGACGAAGCATACATAGTACGTACTCACCTAGCATCGCCATCCTTCGCATCCACCCTACCGCACCACGACTTCTCCTTCTCCCTACTCCTTCTCCTTCCCCTTCCCCTGGCCGGTGTCAGCTGGCGTGGATGTACTTGAGGACTGGAGGGAATGAACATGAGTCGGTGCCCGCATCATTAATTGGAACTTACAATCGAGTAGTCCCACTTCTCTGCGGCATCCTTTCGTGTAGTCCCGAAAACGTCCGCGCATTGGACGCTTAGCTTGTTGAACATATTCACTTTCCTCAGCGCATACGCTCTCGCCCCATCGGACAACCCTGCCTTCGCCGAGACCTGTTCCCAAGCTCTAGACATGTTCTTGAAACCGAGGATCGTCCTCTTGAACTCGGCATGAAGCTTGTTGATTTCCTCGTTCACTCGCTTCACCTCCGCCCGAGCGCGGAACCATTGTACCCGGTCGACTAGCGAGTTGTTAGTACTAGCAATTGGGATAGACGAACCACTCGCCTTCGAGTTCCCATGCTTCCGCATCGTCTTCGGTCGTCCACGGGGGGATGACCGTCCAGATCCATGCCCGTTCTTCGCGGCTGTCCCCTTGCTGTCGCGGCTTGCGCCAATTCTTACTCTTGAGGTCCGTTTCCATGTTGATCGCCTGTAGGACGTCCTCCGCAATGCCATCGCTCAATGCAATGAGGCGGTCGCGGTTGTAATTGTAGAGCCCGGCCAGCATGCGCGTGCGTGCGGTCGCGTTGGACACCTGCTTTTGAGAGCGAGTGTTGTCTTTCTGACCACGCGCGTGCTTTTGTTTGTCCTCGAGGAATGCGCCCTGGTGATTGATAGACTCTTTGACTGCAGCGAGAAGGTCGTACGCACGGCCATGTCGAACACGGCGTTCGAAGACCGCCTGCGCCTCCAGGCCGAGCGTGTTGCGCTCAGCTGCCGAGAAGTCGGATGGGAGGGCGAGAGGCTCGTCTTCAGGCCGACCGCTACCCCCGTCGTCGTCGTCGTCGTCGTGATCGTCGTCATCGCCGTCGTCGCCGTCGACGTCTGGGAAGTTGATGTGAGGCATGAGCGAGCTCTGAAGGTCGCGCCACTTCTCCAATTCACGACGTAGCACACGTCGCTCGGTGCCGACTCCAGCGACCCCCGAGTCGTCCTCCACCAGTTCGGCATGGCCTCTTAACGCCTTCTTGAGTTTCGTACGAAGTTCGTACCTGCAGACGGCGTCAATCCAGCTCCTTATTGGGATGTACGTAGACTTACTGTCGCTTCTCAAGATCCAGTGCCTTAATGAAGAAGTTTGTCGTCCCCTGTGGTACCTTGTCTGCTGCTGCGGCCGCGAACTTCCCCTTGGGTGTGATTTCCATCTTCGCGAGGTCTTCATACACCTTCCCTGCGCTTGGAACTGAATGGGCGTGAGTACGACGTTTCGTCATAATGTATATTACCAAGTTTGGACGTACCTTTACTTTCATCGAGCATGTACACGCTCTGAAGAGGCTGAGTGTAACGGATATTCCCGTTACGGTATGTCTTACATTAAATGTTTGTCTTTGTTTGCTCGAGGACTCGTATGGCGCGCCAGTGCACCTACAAGTCCTCAGCCTTTACCTCGTCACCGCCTTTGTATGCAATCTGTAGACAGTACCTCTTGAATAGAGACTGGGTGCAGCGCATACGAGGCACGACGAGTAAGGCGCCTTACACTTTTTTGCGCTCCAGAAAAGCTTCTATTCTGGGGATTTTCTACTCTAGGCAACAACATCTCGAAACTCGAACTCTATGCTCTATCAAACCCTCTAGTCGGCCCAGGAAGACCTCGACAGGATGTCTGGATCGACAACCAACCCCTCCGAAGCAACCCGGAGCAACCGCGGAACCCGTAGTGGAACCCGCAGCAAGCTCAAGGCGTTGCGAGCGGAGATCAAGTCCAAGCTCGCCGCGAGCCAAGAGCGGCTCGAGCATACACTCGCCGAAGCCGCGGCGAGTCAGCAGCGGATTAATGCCGCGCTCGAAGAGTCCAAGCAGACCCGCAAGGATCTGATGGACGCCGTCGACGAGGCACTGTCGGCGGCGAGCAGCAGCAGTAGCGGCCGTTCATCGCGCGCGCAGACCGCTCGGACTGAGTCCTCCGACCAGGAGAACTCAGCCGGAGCACCCACGGAGCAGGCGCCGTCCGACCGTGAGGTCGAACACGCACTGGGCACAGAGCAGCCCGAGCCCACCGTTGGGTCTGCTCAGAGCCACCCGGAAACACTATCCCGGGCAGCTCCAGCCCAAGCAGCGAAGCCGGGCACCCTCCCGAAGGATGGTGCACGCGCCGAGTTCGACGACAGGCCTGGCGCCGAGCTCGAACCCGAACTGAGCGAGCGGTGCGTCGAGTCGACGCATCTCCAGGTTCGGGAGGGTATAGGCACACAGTACTACAGTAGTAGTACTATGTACAGTGGAAGCGAGCCCACGCCCCTAGATACCCTCGTCGCGCGCTCAGAAATGAGCCGCGATACAAAAAATATATTGCCACTGTCGAACGACGTGCGCGCCACGACGAGCAGCCGGCTCGACGCGACGCGCGACGCGCTCAACGCTACGAGCGTTGAGCGTCACGAGTCCGTGGCGAGCGCCCCGCGTGCTAGCGCCTACCGCACTACGCTCGACCGCCACCACCGACCCGCCGTTCTCGACCACCTCCACTCTCTGGGCAGCCACCTCGAGCGCCCGTCTGGCGAACCAGACGCGCGCGCCGTCCCAACGCGAGTGCGAACTCGTGTTTGCGACTGGCTGGCTGACTTACCGCCAGTCCAGTCAGTGGCGACCGACCTGGTACCTCCCGGTACCAGATCGCCACTTCCTCCATCCCCGGCTCTTCACCTCTCCCCTCTTGCCTCTCGCCTCGACTTGGGTGGTCCCCTCCTCGAGTCCGATAACTCTGGCGACCGATACCGCGGCTCTGGCGACACGCAACCCAGCCACGCGACCCAGGACTTGAACGACGCGCGTTCAAGTCCAACGCCGAGTAGCGAGACTGAGCGGACCATGGACAACGCAGATCGAGGAGAACGGAAGAAGGACAGGGGGCAGAGGAGTAGCGAGGATGAGGAGGGAACGCAGGGACAGAGGGAGGAAGGGTGCTGGGCGAGCAGGAAGCATGAGCCCGAAGGCTCGACCACCACAGGTACGTACTCACTGTACGTTCCTGCATCGCAGCCCCCGCTTCCCGTGCCCGTGCTAGCAGGCGTAGCGACGAACAAGAAGCTCGTCGTGCGCACTGCTAGCCACGAAGATGGCAACTACGTCCCCAGGCACGACTGCGAAGTCGTACCTGATGTTCCGGGTGGTAGCACGCCCAAGGTGCTGCGGGACGACCTCCAGGTCGTACCCTCCATGCCCCCTGTATCCGCGCCAGTAGGCGTCTCGACGAACGTAAGGCTCGTCGTGCGCACTACTGGCCACGAATATGGCACTTCCGCCCACAGGTACAACTGCGAAGTCGTACCGGATGTCCCACGGGAGCTGCGGTACGACCCTGAGGTCGTACCCGGACCCTCCACTTTGCAAGGCAATACGACGGACGCGCAGTACTGCACGTCCGACGTGCCCCATAATTTCTCGACCGGATATCGAGTAGCGGATACGCCCCAGACGGACGTATCCGCCTCGATATCTCCCTCCTTGACGGTGCCCGCACAGGCAATCGTAGCGACGAACGTGAAGTTCGCCGCGCGCATTGCTAGCGATGGAGAGGGTACGATCGCGCCGCGGGGCGACCCAAGGATCGTACCCCCCACTCTGCAAGACGGAGCGCCGGTGTTAGAGGACGACCGCGAGGTCGTACTATTCATTTCGCAAGGCGGCACAACGGACCAGCAGCGATGCAGGTCCGATGTGCCCCATTCAACCTCGACTGGATGTGACGCGGTGTTCGCTGACTCCTCGTCGGCCAGTCGCATCGCGCACTCAACTGCGCCTCAAGACACCTTGCACATCCTCACGGAAGTACAGGCGTCCGACTGCTTCAGCACAGCTGAACCTCATTTGGTTCAGCTGGCCGAGCCATTGGACGACCCCGACGATCTCTCCCGCAACGCGCTCGATCCCGCAAGGGTTATGGCGAGCGACCCTCAGCGTATGACCTCTCCGCGAGAAGCTTGTACCGCCCTAACGGACGTGCAAACACAACTCCTTCGGGTATGCGCAGCTGAACCATCCACGGTTCAACTGGCAGATTCCCCGGACGACCCCACTTACGACCGACAGTCGTCTTGCCACGACGTCGACGCAGACGGCTGCCGAACCGTCACGCATGCGACCCAGGACGCACGTATCGCCCCAACGGCCGTGCGTCAGAGCGACCGTCCATGCGCAGCCGAACCGCACGCGGTTCAGCTGCTAGACCTCGGCACTGTCAGCAGCCACCAATCTCTCTGCGACCCCAGTGCTCCTGCGAACGCGCAGTCCGACGCTTGCGTATTCACAATGAACGCGCTAGCTCGAGATCGCGACTCGACTGCTGCACTACTGCCAGTGCAGCAGCCGGCGCTTACGGACCCCGACAGACCAGAACGGCATCCCGACCGTCAACCCGACGAGAACTTCACAGTTCTCGTCGAGGGCTCGCTCCTAGGGACCCCTACCCAACTCCCCATCGACTCCTTCGCGGCTCCCGACATCGGTGGCGACTACGAGAGGCACCACGAGTCGGAGGTCGCGCGCGCACTCCGGAGATCGAGTGCAGGACGGATGGCGGATCAGGCCGGGGACGAGGGGGACGTGGATGAGAGTGCAGAGACAGAGGAGTCAGATGAGGAGGGTCTGGCAGAAGGAGGAGGGGAGGAAGGGTGCGGTGTAGGCGAAGGAGACGAACCTGCGAGCTCGAAAGACAGAGGTACGTCCATGTCGGAGGTACCTCCCCCGCCTCTACCACCTCCTCCTACACCGCCACCACCACCCGTGACGACCACGACAACCAATGCGGTTATCGTGGCAGCCACCACGCATGTCGACGGTATGATCGACCCATGGGGCGACCTACAGGTCGAGCCCAGCACGGACAGGCCGTGCGGGACGATCGGTGGGCGAGTGCGCTCGACCGGCGTACCCAAAGTCCCTGCGACTCACACGCAGACGTCGGACTCTTCGTTCGACGCCTGTTTCGAGGAACCCGACAGTGACTCGAAAAGCGAGTACCTCACGGTACTCGCCCTGCCGTCACCACCCCTGTTCCGATACCACCACCGATCGCGACCACCCCGAAGGTCGTCGCAATCGACACTGGTCCATCCACACCACGGAGCGACATCGCAATCGCATCCGCTGGCACGCACGGCGGCGCGCCCGGGGTGCACACAGGCACTACCGGCGCGTCCCACCTCTCCGATACAGGTGTAGTACCGACATCAAGCATCAAGCTTGAGGTAGGTGCCGATGAGCACCCTCATGAGCAGTGCGAGTACCATAAGGTACTCAAGTCTCTGCCTGCGTCAAGTGCAGTGGGTGCCGCACAAGGACACGACATTTCTCCTGTCAAAGGCAAGTACCTCACGGTACTCGCCAGCTCACCTACTATAGTTGCAGTGTCACCGCCGTGTCACACTGCAACAGACCTCGACGAAGATACAGGCGAGCTCAATCCCGCGAATCGTGGCCAGTCAGCCGGTACGTCTACAAATGTAGACGTACGACGGACTGCACCCGGACCTGAATGGCGACCGTCGGGACGCTACGTGCTGCCGGCACGTCGCGTTCAGCAAGACCGACGCGATCTGGACGTGTACTTCGACGGCGAGCACCAGCCCAAATACTGCGAAGTACTTGTTGCGTCTAGCGAACGAGACCGGGAGCTACCGCCGAGCACATCCAAGATGGATGTGCTGTTATCTTCCCTGGACCCAGCACAGTCGAATGGATCGACGCGAACTGGCGGATCCACATCCGTGGCTCCAGGATCAGGGACACCTGGCGAGAACGAACCTTCGTTCTTGCGGATGCAAATGCCCAGTGCGTCGACTCGTGCGACTACTAGAGTGTCGCCGCGTGCCCAAACGGAGATGCGTTCCCGGGATCCATTGAAAGGTTTCCAGATCTATCTCGAGGGACTCAAAGCTCAGTCGATGCGAAGGCCGGAACCATTGGATTCAGGCGAACGGCGACGTTCATCTACAACTGATGGTACCAAGACCGAGCCGGCGCGAGCGCAAGGAGGAGCTACCTCCTCTACGAGGGGGGTTACTCTCTTGAGAGGGGAAGGGAGCGGGGCCTCGAGCAGCCACCGCTTGATCCACACCATGACCAGTACACCACGCGAAGATGTACTGGTCCCGGATCCCCTAGTGACACGGATGTCAAGCCGTGAGCTCGACTTACGGATCACCCATGGGAACTCGACGCGAAGATCAGGCAGTCGCACAGTGAGCCAGGGGTTCGACGTGCAGGATACCGTGCGAGTGGCCAGTACATCACATAGTGATGTACTGGAACTGGATGTAGTCACAGGCCGTACGTCCAATGTCGACGTACGGGCTTCACGTCGAACATTGAGGCAGGTACCACCTGTACTGCATGCGTCGAGTGATCGAATCGAGGTGCAGGATACTCGTGATCGTCGCAGCCGCGACATCACTTCGGAAACCAGTACCTCGCGCCACGAAGTACTGGGATTAAACCGAGTACCGACTGCACTGGGTCACCCAGTGACTGTCGACGTGAGTCGATGGCCCACGGATAAGGTGTCGCGTGAGGAGTGCTTCACCCTCCTTGCAGACCAGCTTGAGCATGACTTCGACGAGGCTGATGTCGCGGCAAGTACTGGCGAGTGGGACATCTGGGCTCACTGCAAGAGGTCAGCCCTTAGCTGTGGGCAGGCCATCGAGGATATGTCCCCACGACCAGGGACATACTCTCGTGCAGCTTGTCGAGCATGGGACCACTTCCAGAGGGAGTTGGAAGTGGTTCCACTCGAGTTTGATCCTCGGCTCGTTGCACCACTTCCTATGGAGATGGTACGACATTGGGCCTACAACAAGCTGGGATGGCTTGTTGTACCACCTCGTCAACAACCAGTGGATGAGTCCGACTGGTACAACTCCTCTGATGAGGAGCCTCGTACCATGACTCGTGAGGAGTACCCTGACCATGTTGAGTCGGAGTATCCCTCCGAGTCCGAGCATCTTAGCTCGTGGGACTCACGAAGATCTGGGTCTGAGGAGACTAACTCGGTAGTAGTCTCTGACTACTACGAGCAGTCTGAGATGGAGGATACCCTTAGCTCTTCTGCACTATCTGCCGACGATGAGGGTAACTCTGAAGATGCTGACTACTACTCCGAGTCCGAGTAGTAGTTTACCTTATGGCCTGCATAACTTTGTCGAGTTATGTACGACAATGATGAATGGTTGTGTCTGCTCACTGACGCAATCTAACATGTTGTTGTCTACAGTTCAACATCATCTTTGTTTGCCAACTGCTACCACCGGTGGGTTGTTGCATATGTCTCCTTTCATTTTCCTTTTTCTATCTGTTTCTCTGGTTATCGCTGGGACCCGTGGTCGTGTCCAGTGGGGGAGGGTGTAACGGATATTCCCGTTACGGTATGTCTTACATTAAATGTTTGTCTTTGTTTGCTCGAGGACTCGTATGGCGCGCCAGTGCACCTACAAGTCCTCAGCCTTTACCTCGTCACCGCCTTTGTATGCAATCTGTAGACAGTACCTCTTGAATAGAGACTGGGTGCAGCGCATACGAGGCACGACGAGTAAGGCGCCTTACACACGCCCAGCTTCTTCTTCGTTGACCTGAGGCTCGACTGGGGAACAATCGTTCATTGTACACACATACTATTGACAGTGATGCACTTACCCTCAGGCGCCTTCGACGTCGTCGTCTTTGACGACGGCGGCTTCGACGACGGCGGCTTCGACGATGTCGGCTTCGACGATGTCGGCTTCGACGATGTCGGCTTCGACGATGTCGGCTTCGATGACGACGGCTTCGACGATGTCGGCTTCGAAGACGACGGCTTCGACGATGTCGGTTTCGAAGACGACAGCTTTGACGATGGCTTTGCAGCCTTCGTTCCGGTGGCCTTAGTGTCGCCGACCTCTACATCGCTCCACGCGATGAACTGCTCGCCAGGGCTACCATCGTCAGCGACGTCTTGCTTATCCTTCGATCTCGAGACTTGCTGCTCATCGATGAGTGCGCTGGACCAACATTGAGATAGACTCGACGTTTAGAAGGTTAGTATTAATGCCACTTACCTGACATTGGTCCACATCATCTCCTTCAGAGCTTGGTACGCCTCCGATGCGTTGCTTTCGAACTGATCCAGGATGCCCATGATGTTGATCCACCTACTCACACGTGAGGGAGAAACACTACGCTAGACAGACTGTTACACTCACTTGGCCGCATATAGCTTGTTAGAGAAGTGGTGAGTCCCTGTGGCTATGTCCACCAACGCCGCCTCGATCTATAAAAGAATTGTTCAGTATTACAGCCGTCCATAAACTAACGTGAACAAAACTTACCGCATTGCACACGAGGGCTATGAGGTTGTTCGGAACCTCACTGAACCGATCGTACGCTGCGACTGACGCAGTGTCCCTGTGTCCATGGAACCAGTGCTGCACAATGACGTCGGACAACGCCTTGTGCTGGAACGGTTTCTTGCGGTTCACGACGCTCGCCTGTGGGGCCCTTCAAGAACAAGCAGTAAACATCCAAGATGACTGTACATACCTTCATGTCGACCTCGTAAGGTTCGTCCGACTGCCAGGCGATGTCGATTTCGCCGAAGATAAAATTCGGCATTGAGAATTTGCCCTGTGTGTTCGACTTGAGGAGGAATGTTGCGGCTGCGACTCTGCGCTGCGTCGAGAGGCTTCCCAGGCCGTAGGCACTGTCGACCACAATCTTCGCTTTCTTCTTGACCTCGTTTCGGAGCTGAGACGCGCCTGTCCACACCTGCAACAAGACTCAGTTCGTTTGATGTGTCAGGAACAAGGGACTTACAACACTGGCGACGTTCTCGCGAAGAACGTGGTTGCGTTTCTTTTTCAGGGTCTTGAACCCTGACACAAGGTAATCGATCTTCTTGCCGTCCTCCGCGCGATGGCGGCGAGCGTCCTTCAAGGCCCTCTTGATGACGAGGTGCTTGTGGGGCAGCTGACTGCTGTTCTGCGTCTTCTCGGAGGTCCACGCGTGGTCGAGTGAGAGGCGGAGGCGGAGGTACATCTGTGAGCACGTAACAATAGGCTTGAGGGTCTCCGGGATGTCCCTGGCCTGCGCACGACGACGACCTTCGGACTTCTGCCCGGCCGCGCTGCTGCTGCTACGTTTGCTTCTCTTGCCTTTGGACTGCCCGGCCTTACTCTTCGGGGCCTTGACAACCTGCAGAACTTCATCGACAAAGCAGTGAATGCGGGACGATTGACTTACGATCACTTCATCCTCACTGTCCTCGTCCATCGCCTCGTCCTCCGCGTCTCTGTCTTCCTCCGAATCATCGTCGTCGCTGTCGCCGTCGCTGTCGCTGTCGCTGTCCGAGTCACTGTCCGACTCATGGTCTTCTTCCGTATCGTCCGCGTCCGGCTCGGTCTTGTTCTCCGACTCGGTGTCGGTGTCCAACCAGTCGCGCTGTTTCTTCTGCTTCTTGTTGACCCTCGTACCCTTGCCCTTGTTCTTCTCAACCGCTGCACCCTTGCCCTTGGTCTTGACCGCCGCACCCTTGCCCTTGTTCTTGTTGACCACCGTCTGCTGCGTAATCTATCATAGTTTGAGATGAGTAAATAAAGATGCACTCACCTTCACCTTTTTTGGAGGTGAGTCAATGACAACGGCGTCCATGCGCCACACTTTCTTGGCTTTGGCACGCTGCGTGACGTTAGTGCGTTGCTCTTCGTCGTCTTCTGACCCACTGTCCCCATGAGCATGGTTGTTTCGCTGCCTTGCCTTCGGATTGTTTTTTGACGTTGCTGACGACGATTGAGGCTTACCTATGATGTTGCTTGCAGATTAGCTAGGAACCTATGGGAGGACCCACATACCGAGAGCTGTCGCAAGGTTACGCTCGTCTGCGTCGAGCAAAGTGTCGCCCCGGTCATTCTTGGCTTTCTCAGGTTCGTTCGCCGGCTTCCGACCAAACGCAGGCCTTGGTTTAGGTTTGGCTTGCATACCACTTCTGTTAGTAGTTCGATATACTTATTAGCTTGTGTAAAAGACTCACGGCGCGGAGGCAGAGGTGCCTCTGGGGGATTATCCACATCGTTCGCATTGCCCACCTCTCGCTCTGGCTCCACTCGCATCTCCTCCTCTGCTTCCGCTTCCGCCTCCGCCGCCACCTCCTCCTCCTCGACAAGCTCGTCCTGTTCTTCATCCTCGCTGAGCCTGATCTCCACGTTCTTCTTCAGCTTCTTGCGCCTCGGTTGCTCATCCTCATCCTCCTCGTCCTCTGCGCCAGACGTGTTCTCCTCTAGCAACATAGCTGTGCTCGTCCTTCGTACGTCTGTTGTGAGTTCAGCATTCGTTTCGTGTCGTCCATCCCAATCAACGTGAAGTTGAGCACTCACTGGATCGATGTTCGGCCGCCGCCTGCTTCTCGGCCTGCTCCATCTTCGCTTTCAACTTGTCGTACAACCGCTTCTCGGACGGGGACAGAATGTCGGGCTGGGAGGTCTTGCCATTTCTCTCTGGGGTTTCCTGCCTGCCGCGCTTGGAACCCGTGGCGCCCTTCGATGAGGCTTTCGTAGCGGTGGAGGACTTCTTAGCAGCCGGCGCTGACTTTACAGCGGCCTGACCAGTCTTAGCCTTCGTGGTCGGCTGGCCGGTGGGCTGGCGTGCCGCACTACGGAGAGACTGACGTGTAGCCATTCCAAGGTGCAGTACGTTCACTGAGAGCGAGCGGTGGTGAGTGTTGACGGAACAGTGAAAAATTTTAGATAACACACCGTGTGAGCGGACTCTGACTCACCGCTGGATGAGGTTCTCGAAGTCTTCCGTCGGTCGTAGCGGTCGCGCGAACTTCGGAGGATGATGGAAGCCAAGTGCAAGAGCATCGGACCGCACTGCGGGCATGAGCACATGAGACTCGCGGCTGGTCGCGGTTCTGGAAGCCTTCGAACCAGACAGCGTTGTTAGCATTAGCGCTGAATACAATCTATACAGTTGATCTACGTAAGCACTTCAAGATTCACAACACTTGACAGGCGAACTTGAAGGCTGAGTTTCACGAACTCGAGTATATTACACAGACGGTCTACCAAGTGTTCCTGAAAGTCCTGTGGTATACTTCGAGCCTTGTCGTTCTTTTGCTGGAGTTCATTCATTGAAACGGTGCAGTAATTTTGAAGCACACAGGCGCAAAAACAAACACATACCGTTAACAAATTCGTCATTGACTGCTACTGTACAAGCTGTGTCAACTCGCCGTATTTGACTGTCCGTAAACGCACGTCTGCTACGCATTCACACACGGTAACAGGACTACACCGCGATACGCAGTGCTCAAGCGGCGGTTTGCAACGGCGAACCACCCCATCACATCGTGGAGAGCAACGGCTCGTAGACTCGACCTCCAGCATGGAATTGGTGGCTGCTGCTGGGCTGTTACCTGACGCACAACGGTTCGGTGCAACCCAGATCGTTGACGATGGAGACGCGAGCGAGGGAAGGCAAGGCGGAGGCCACAGTGCGTTGACGGTGAGCGGATGCGGCGGAACTTGATGCTTGAACATCGAACTGCGGTGGATGCTGCGGTGGATGAGCGACAGTGAGCGATCAGACCCGCCGAGTATGCACAGGTGCGCGTACTATAGAGACTGATTATAGTACTTACATAGACCGCTGCTTGATGACGATGGTCCCGGGCGGCTCTTCCTTCGCTGCACCATCTGCGCCCGCTGTTCCCGAACTCGTTGTCCCAGAGGTCGCGCCTCCGCCCCATGAGCCTGTAGCCCCGGTGCCTGGCGCGCGCATTGCTGATGCTCCCGCGCCTGAGCCTCGCTGATCTTCTCGTCTTCCCATTCCCTCCCAACTGCACGCCCCTTCACTTCGCGGGTCGACCGCACGTTGGCTGACATCCGCGCTTGTACCTCCTGAGTTCCGCCTGAGTTAACGATCCGCAGGGTCCAGCGGGAGGTACGGAACGTCCCAGAGCAGCGGCTGGCCGGCGCGCCTCGCGACTCGAGCCCCTTCTTGATCCCGTCCTGGTGCTGACTGGAGAAGGCGGTGAAGATGAGCTCCCCGGCGTAGGGGTGCCGGGGATGGACAGGGATGGAGGTGAGCTCGGTTACGAGGTCTATCGTGGATTGTATATTGCTGAGGTCCAGTCTGCAAGGCACGCTTTGCGTATACATGTTGAGCGTGACGGCGACGAGGTCTACGCTGCCTGACCGCTCACCGTTCCCGAGAAGACAGCCCTCGACTCGGTCGGCACCGGCGAGCAGTCCGAGCGCGGTCGAGGTACCGCCTGCGGTAGGTAGTGGTGCGTCCTCTGGGAGCCTCGCCGCACGCTTTGTTGTGACCATCTCGGTGTTTCCTCGCGCAAGCACGGACTAGCTCGTCTTGACGCTTCAATCGACAAGCTTGCCGTCGGAGGCGCCGCGGTGGGTTGGCTACGGGGCGTGCGGTTGTTCTGCATAACCCGGTAATCGGATGATTTGTCTTGCAGGTTGTCCGAGCGAGAGGCGTAGAATTGGTAGAGCGCTTGAGGCCGGCCATTGAGAAAACGAGAAGCTAGACACGAGAAACGAGACATAAGAACGGGGCCTAAACGAGACAAGAAACGAGACTCGAGAAACAATCGAAGTCGCAGATCACGTGACCACACCTGGCGCCCACAGGCTGCCTTCAGTCTCGGAAGTGTAGTTGCATATTTGAAAAAGTGAAGCGAAACGAAAGCAAAGAAAACACGGCCGGGTTCGTAGGTATCATTAATTTATCAGTGGGGCCCACATTAGAACTACTACAATAGTAAGCCTACTGGAAGTGATTGCTGGAAGCCCAGCCATTCCGACGATCGTTCTCGGTCCATTTACACATTTCCCTGTCTGAATGTAAAACAATGGAGGCACGAGTTCCAGTATAATGCATGTTGTAATGTGTGATTTTGCACGAAGGAAAGACTGCAAAATCACCGTGTCGAAGTGGAATGACAAGGCCTGGCTCCACAAGACACAGCTCACCGCCATCAAATTCGCCGATTGGCAAGACGAGGCATACGCCGTCGTCTTTGCTATCTCTATGGGCTCGAGTGACGACATTAAGGTTGACCACAAGTCCGACGAACGGGCTGACCACTGAGACGTTATTACCAGGTAAAATAGCGGCCGTTGCTTCAAGTACTTCGTATTCCCGGGGCAAGAACGTTTGAAGCTACGGCCATATACATTACCTACCGGCATGTTGTGATTGACAACTGAATTACTTACCTGGTCGTCTATGAAACCAAACACGTCTGCGAAGACGCTTTTGAGGGACTGATAGATCGCCTGGTGGTCTTCCATGTCCCTCGACATGTACGGTAGGAATTGACCATGGTTGGTACGTGTGCAACCTGCTCTGCTCAGCAGAGACGGGGGTATATCAGCAGGCGCAGCATGTCCCTTTGAAGGAATGACATCATAAGCATAGCTCACCAACTGCAGATCGCTGACAGTACTGACCTGGGTACAGTGTCGATTATACCATGAGAAATGTATTGCTTGGAATGTACGTTCACCGGTCGCCGAATTTGCGTCAACTGTCTTGAAGGGGTCTGAATTGAAGCTTGCAAGGAGACGATCGATTAGGGTTCGTTTCATGGTATCTGGCATCGACGTGAAGATGCCGGCAACCAACGAGTGATCCTGGCCTCGAATGGTTAGGACATCCCTGCCAGAGAAAGTAAGCGTGTGAACAACAAACACGATAACGTTACGCACGGTATCATGTTCACCGGCACGCGAATGTAAGCATTCGGGTTAGCTCTCTCCCCGGCTGTGTACGCAGTTTGTAGCTTGGGTAAATACGTCGCAATTAGCCACGTCTGAGTCAAGAACGAACCACTGTACCTGAAACTCGAGCTCTTGAAGACTTACTGGTGCACTGGCTTTGCTAGCGATTGAACGTGCGTTCTCTGTCCATGCTATGTTCTCCTCCTTGTCACGAGGGGCTGGATACCGTCTGTTCGTAACGGTTTGAGAGTCATAGGATGTGAGAATGACTTGGCCTAGAGATGGAATTGGTTCGGGGGCGCAACTAGTATGGCGCGAGGGCAGACACGGTGACGATAACGGAGAGAGAGACGATAGCGAAGACAGAGGAGATAGAGGAGAAGGGGGTGGGGCTGCTCGAGGTCCATCCGCCGGTTGCAGGGTAGGCGCTGACACCGTCGCGACTGAGGGTGAATGGATCAGAACGCCTTGATCGCAAGACTCCCAAGCCGAATGCATCCTTGGAACAAGTTTGAAAGCACTGCAAAGGTTGCCGGAATATGAATTTCATCATACACTGCACGGGGAAGGACTTACTTGAATTTGAGTGTGTCAAAAAAAGTGTCGTTTCGCTCTAGGACAAGGGTACTGTTTGAACCGCCTGTCTTAGACATTGGGAAGAGGTCTTCAAACATCGACGGGTAGTGCTTCTGTAGGAGTGATACAGTTGGGATCACTGTATCTTTTACCGTACGTCCCGCTCGTGAGTCTGTGTGCTTGATTAGTCAGTTGGGCGCTGTTCTCATACTGCAGAAGCATACTGTCCGGCCATCGTAGCATGTTGCCTATGTCTTGGGCAGAATGGCCGTCGACCGCGCCCAAAGGAACTCTGAGGTTCTGGACTGCAATCATGATAAGTAGATATACTGAGCCTGGCCAAATAATGACTGTTCAGCGCACATCTAAGAAAGTTGTACACTACGTACCTCCTCCGCCACGAAAGCAAATTTGTTCCCCATGGCGACCCAGTCGAGGAACGTTCTCTTTTCAACGTCATTCTTATGACTCAGCTGGGATCGCCAGATGTCGGTAGTGGTGAGGCCAGGTTCCGCATGTTTCAAGCTTGCCAAAAGCACACTTGTAAGCTCGTCTTGGATGAAACCAAAGAACCCACGCACTGGCTGCAACGGCACGCGAGCTGGATAAGTCGCAACATCACTACGATGTCGGAGGTTGCATCGTCTTTGAAAGCCATTGCGCATTGTTTGGCGAGAGTGGTCACCGACTCGTTTGCCGACGAACTTTGCAAGCGGATACTAGAGACCGTACCGATTTGCAGGGACTTACAGCAGTCCAAGATCCTTCTCTCAGCCAGGTTGCTGGTGAGCATCGTGAAGAACCTTTGAACGCTGGCCTTCGACGACTGTGACGGTGCCGTTAGCTGATCTGATTCCCATACCAAATTCGATGGCGCGGCGTTCGCAACACTAAATGGGAATCCTCCACGCCAGCATGGTGAGCGGGATCGCCGGCGCAGGGCATTACGACGATGAGAGGATTGTTCAGCTGCAGGGTTACCCGCTTCGTTACCCGCTTCATGGGCATACGGTGCCTTTCGATGGCGTGACCGTGTCTGCCTGGCTGGCCCTACGGTGCGGTCTGAGGTATTGCTGGACTGAGCAGTCACTGGTTGAAGCAAATGTCAGGCCAGTTTACGTACGCATATAATCAGGCAGAGCTTACCGTTATCGTTACGGGCTAGCTGTTGAGTTTGAGAGCGTGTCCGACGCGGTTCAACAGACAGCTGAGAGGAGGAGACTGTGTTCTCCATGCTCAGTGCTGATGATTCTAGGGTTACTGTGGTATGAACCTATCCGTGTGTAACATAGGAGTAATTCTTACCTGACTGACTCGATTTTTCCTTAGGAATGTACCCGTTGCTTTGTAACCGTGCCAGCAAGTCCTGCAAGACTTGATTGAGGTTGGGTATGCTTTCGAGCAGCGCAATCAGATTCTGCTGTTCAGTTTCATCGACGGAAAGCGGAGTGATCATACTGAGAGTAACACAGTCAAGATGAGGCGTAATATAGACTGAGGATAGTACTAGAGAAGGTACTTAGCTTGTACGCAGCATTAGACGCGAAGGCGCCCAAGACTAGCGGTTAACTTTCGTTAAGGTCGTGACTTCTGCACATAAACAAAGCGACATATATATACCGTTTCCAGACACGTACTGACATACAACGTAGATACACGCTCTAGTGCGGTTACGACAAAGCGACACGACAGCATTATGAAAACGCGAACAATGCGAACCTACACGACACTAACCTACCCGAACCGACACGAACCGTATGACTTACGAACGCCGCCGAGTCTCGCTCCTCAGCTCACGGCCGGTGGCGAGTGAGAGGATGTCGGCTGTGCGCAGGTTGTCGTCATCGTCGTAGGAGCTGTGGGCGGAGTGACTGCTCTGCCCGCTCTGCGACTCAAAAGAGGTATTAGCAGAAGTGTTGGCCGAGTCGTCGCTGTGCACCCTGTCCGCGACGAGGGTCTCCTGCGACGTATCATCCTGCAACAGGATGGACTCCGTCTGCAGCGGCGGCGTGTTCGCGCGCCTCCTCTTGTTGAAGTTCGCGATGATATCGTCCTCCCCGGACGACAGAGGTCCGTCGAGACGGCGTTTCAGACACTTAGCAACCTCCAGGATCATGGCTCGCTCATCGGCACCTTTGAGCGCGTCCTCCGGGAGGTTGTCGTCAACGCGGTAGTTGCTATTGTTCCATTTGTCCACCGCCAGCTGGTACGCGGCGATTTGAATGTCGTCGACTAGTTTAGGGATGGGGTCGGGGATGGCTGGCAGCGAGAAGTTCGGCGTGTCTCGTGCCTCGTTCTCCAAGCGATGTATGAGGGGTGCGTCGTTTGTCCGTATCGCCTCTGTGGTCTCAGCGATCAGTCGCTGGTTGTGCGACGCCTCGCGAATGTTGCAGATCGCGCCTCGGTACTTGTTGACGACGTGATCGTGCAATTCAGCGACTGTCGACCCGGCGATGTATCTGCGTTGGACGGGCTGCATAAGTTCAAGTGAGCAATCATCAAAGACAATATATATATCAAAGGCAGAAGTTACGTACCACGCAATAGTTCCAAATCTGCCAGTCCTTCTTCTCCCAAAACCTTCTGAGGCAAACCTCCAGATCGGCCCGATCCTCTGGGATGAATACGTACATCTGAGCTTGAAGCCTCCCTACAAGTACCTGGTCTCCGCGCTTCCAGCCGGTAGACAAGATGTCGTCACCATCGCCGCCTCCCGCTACAAAGCCGTCCTCGTCCGGCTGCGAATTCTCTTCATCAGGGTCGATGTAGGCGAGTTCTTCTAAGTTGATCACGGTGAACAGAAGAGGACCCCTTTTGTGCTTCACGCACATTGCGGTGTGGATCTGAAAATACGTCAGTAGGTGGTTGATCGCAGTGCGTTGTAAAGTTTGCTTACCTGTGGCAGCACCTTCTTGAGGATCTGGGTGTACGACGTCTCGTTCACGTACGTGTCGCGAGAGATGTGGATTAAACGGGTCGGCGATAGTTTCTTCGATGTGGACACAGTCATCACGGCGTCCGGGATGTGTGCTACGTTGGCGGTGAGAAGTCCGCGCGCCCCGTCCATGCGAACGACTTGGGAGGGCGAGACGACGGCAGCGTCGCCGACTTGACCCGCCAAGCAATTGTTGACCCATTGGTGCAGACTCGTTGGGCCGTATACCGTGAGATTGCTCATGGCCGGGTTGTACACAAAGCTGTGGGGAAATAGTCAGTGCTTCTGGTAGGGTCGCTACTTAATCTCCGTGCACTCACGATAGACAATGTAGTAGTGACGGTTGGTCTTGGATGAATTGCCTTGTTGCTTGCCAGTCCTGTGAAGAAATGTTGAGGCGGACAGTGGAGGTGTCGTAGAGCCGAGGGAAACCGGGTCGTTCTTGCAGGTCGCCGAATATTTTGTCGGCGAGGGGCCAATGGCTGATCTTGTTGGCCAGATCTACAATATCGACGTAGCACCCTTTCTCCCCGTGTGCGTGCGCAGGACCCAGCCCAGGGGAGGATGGCGGGTCGCTCATCAGGAAAAACCCATTTATCTTGGCAAGGCTTGACCAGGACAAGGATGTCTTATCGAGTCTTCCTGCCCTTGGACGGTGCTGCAAGGCATACAAGGGAACATTCAGCATCCGTTTTTTGAAGGTGTACCCTTGAGGAGATGAGTATGCCTTGGCAAGGTTACTCTGTGTGCTGTTGGTATCGCCACTGATTACCAAGGACCCTTGTGCTTCTTTATTTCAAGATGCCCAAGGTACTCAAGTAGACATTGTGAACTGTATCATTAAAAACTACGCCATACAGTATCTACCACAGGGTCTGGTACGAATATTTAGTGGCCCAATTGTTCAGCACAAACCTCGACGCTTTATCAAGTATGGTATGAGTGTTCCAATCCTCAGGTACACGTACAGAAGGCTGAGAAGCAGTGGGTCTCGAAAAATGGGGGATTAACTGGCAGGATTGGCGTATCATGCTCAAAGGTACAATATCGCAAGGTGGTGTACCATCTGTACGTAGAGGAGCTTTCCTCACGTCGTACATCATGTGGATGGGATCAGCAGAGGGAGGAAGCTTGGCGTACCACTCCACGTACGCCAGAGGGCCCACTGCAGCCCATTCCTGAGGTGCAGGCATGGACTCGTTTGTTCTGAACTGCTCTATCCTGTTGGGCAAACGAAATACGACTTTGAGGCGTCCGATACGTGTTCCTGTGTGAGCGTAGTACCCAGCTGAGCATAATTGAAGCAGTAAACATACAGAATTACGTACCTTGAAGACCTGTAGCCTCTGCCTCCTCGCCCTGCAGGACAACAACGGTATCAAACCTGCCAGGCTGCTCACCACTGGCAGGGCGTGCCTTGACTGCATCACGCTCTGGTTTGCTGTCGCTGAGGGGGATTGTGGTAAACTTGAACCCATGGAAGACATCTAGACGTGAAAATGGGAGGTACGACAATGCGGCTTCTACTTCTCTGTTAGTGAGCGGGCGTCCAAGTTTGAGGCGATAGATATACTGGCGAAGGGCCTTGGAAAATCCGGGAGCTTGATGCTTTGTGCCAATAGAGTTGAGGGACTGCTGCGTCACTGAGGGATGCTTTGCCAGCACAATCCCAGCCCTGGGACAGTGCTGACCGTTCTCAGAGGCCCCATCCACATGAGCATCTCCTTCCTCCTCCACAAGCCTCTCACGAAGAGTCTCGTATGTTGCGATCTTTTCCTGGCGTTGGAGCCACTTCACCATTTGGGGGCGGGCATCACGGTGGTTGGACGCACGCCAGGCCTTTTTGGCACAGTCGATATGCAGGCGTTCGAACATTTCTGTGTTGTAGTTGTCAGTGGTGCCAAGAGAGCGAATAGAGTCGACGTAGTGGAGGAGAGAGTGGAATTTTGGTATGTTCATATGTTCACGTATCCCAAGTGTCACAAGGACAGCCTTGTTCTTGTGGAATAACTTGAGGGCGTCCTCCATGTAGGATAGGGTAGTGTCGTCATGGGTGGGATACTGAGCCAGGTAGATGAAGTCTAGCAAAGCTCGGAATGTGAGCATGACGGCGTTAGGGATGCAGCCCACCAGACAGCCTAGGAGGATACGGGCCATGTCTTTACGCTCACTGCCAGAAACCTGAGATAAGGCCGATATGCCCTTCTTGAAATGGCGCGTTCCAAACGCTGGCGGGAGACAACGGATCCTAAGGTCCAGCTCCTCCTCATCCAAGAGATCCTCACACCACTCCACAAGGTGCTTGAAGACGCCTTGGTAAAGTTGGTGCAAGACGTCGGGGGTAACTGCGTGGTGGATGTCGGTATATGGAAGATCCTTCCAGAACGGCTTAACCACGTAACCAGAGACATTGAATTCTTTGCAGGCCTTATAGAACGTTGTGCTGCCCTTTCTTCCCTTGGTTTTGGCCTTCTCGAGTACGTCAAGGGTCCATATTTGGCGCCTAGGTGTCTTGGAAGAGGCGTCTTCAAGCTGAGACTCTGGGCACTGGCATACGGCACAGGTTCCGTACTTGGAGCAGGTCACCAGACACTGCTCTGGATAGTCTGCAACGTACGCCGCTAGGACTGGGTACACCCTTCGAACCTTTCCATCCCCCCCAGTGACGTCAAGGCCTGTCTTTCCTGCCTCAATGAGAGGCTCGACGATCATCCTGACGGAGGCGTGGAACAGCTGCTGCATCATGGCGCGCTGCTTTGCTTCAGAGAGGCCGGTAGAGTCGACTTTGTCGACAGAGAGGTAGCCTATGAGAATGCAGGCATGTTCTGAGGGTTTACGCCGAAGGGCCTTAGGTATATTCCCCAGCGTCATGTACACTGGATAGGCGGCCTTGTTGCCTGAGAACTGGGTAAGTTGAGTCTTGTCGGTGGAGATAATGACCGGTGCTAGGGAAGCACCGTCAGGAAGCAGGCTCTGAGCAGACGTTCAGATCTCTCAACCTCTCAGCAAATACTATACACTTATGCCACTCACCTGGACGGCGTGCCACCACCTTCCAGTCCACATCTCAGAGTAAATACGGTTTTTCTTTGAGCGGTCCGTAAAGATACGGCGGGGACGGTATACTATCTTGTCGGCGTGTGCAGGGTTGCCAAGCAAGGCCTTGATGGCCATGATAATGTCACGAATCTGCACAAGATGTCGTTCGCCCGGGCGGTCCTTAAAGGTGAGCCATTGCTCCGTCCAGGTTGCTCTTTCAGGTATGGAGTCGACCTTTTGCAGTAGGGCACGCATGTTGTGATATGACAACCCTAATCTGTCTTGCAACTGTGCCCTTGTCAGCGGTTGGACCCTTCTCCGAACGTACCGTACGTACCCCAGGTATGTTGAGCAATTCATCTACTGAGCCTTGACTCACACCCGACTTGACACACCAAGCCGCCAGCTGCCAGTCCATCTCCGATTCAAACGGCTCCCATAAAGAGCGGGTCTCGTCTGTTGATGCATCAGTACGGGCTCGTGGAGAACAAGACGGTACTATCACCTGAGCCTCCTATGCCGTCCTTGCTGTTCCTCTCTGCAAAACGTCTCCTCCAAGCCTCTTTCATCGTCTGCCCTTCTCCATACTCCTTCCCTGCCTTCTCATCAACCACCTCAAAACGGCTGTCATCATCATCGTCCAGGGCTAGAGCAGTACGTCGTCTCAGGGCTCCTGACGTAGAGCTTTCAGCGCCTTCAGGATTGCCTTGGTGCCCTTGACTGGGCCCGGCTACAGGGACAAAGACCAGGTCCTCAAGAAGTTCTTCTTCTTCCTCTTCTTCCTCTTCTTCTCTATCATCGCCTTCGTCTTCGTTGCCGTTGTTTCCTGCACCATGAGTTGCCAACGAACTGCTCCAAGTGTACGCCAAGGAGTGGACCTTACCATAAGAAGAGGAACTGCCAGATGCCTGAGGAAACGGGCTTTCTTGTCGACCGGGAGAGTGGGCGCTGCTGGAAATCCTTAAGACTGAAATATCAACAGGTCTAAATCCCACTGACCTAGTAAGCGGCCCAGGCGGGTAATCCTCCTCTTCTGAGGATGTTGCTGCAGCTAACGGCTGGAACACTGCCTTGAGCTTTCCCTTCTTATACCAGGCACACCTCTTGCTGCTGGATAAATGGGACATAAGACTTGGGACGGTTTCAAACCACTCGTCGCAAGCAGGGCAGAATTCACCCCCCAAGGGACAGAAGTGAGGGAAGCGTTTACGTTTGCCCATGTTCAGCAACTGGTCTCAGTCAGCAAGAACACAAGCTCATAGGACTTGAAAGTGTACGTGTTCAGAGGTAGACAACCCCTGCAAAACTGCCGCCAAAGTCCTCTGACAGTTGTTACGCCACTAAATTAGGCAGGCTGTAGGCGTCTAGACTCCAAGCTACTAATCGGTTGCGAGGAGTGCGGTGTTAGGGTTCTTTTGGTGGCCTTTGTACTCTTGGCTGCCTTCCTCTCCCTCCTTTCGCTCCCTCACGCTACCAACCCTCCTTGTCTTGTTGTTCACATTGATATTCTCTGTAGGTATCTCATTCTAGTACTTCTGATGATGTACACTCAAAGCCAACACTCAACGCCAACAAACCAAGTCAACGCTCAGCTTTGATGGTGAGCCTGCCAAATTTTCTGGTGAGCGTTGCATCTACACAGCTAAGCAGCTCTGTACGTTTTTTCTTCTACTGCATAATCTCCGGCTAGGACACCTATGCTGGCGTTGTTCGGCATTTTGGTCCTAGTTCTCAGAAGTTACCAAATTAGGTTCTACGCTGGATCCAGCGGCAAGCCTAATTTGGTAACTCCAACGCCTCTTGGTCTTTCATACAAGGACCCTGCAAGATAAGAACCGGAGCCAGCAGAAGAAGAAGCTAGGCACTTACATCACGTATAAATGAGGATGGTGCAAGTGGGACAAAACACGACTCAAGAGGGAGGTAACACGTTGCTAGAGAAGAAGCTACGTTGTGCCTCAGTGTCACTGGGTCAACGGCACTAGGACCCCAGTTACCTCAGTAAGATAACACGACATAGTTCTGTGCATGCAGCGTACAGATGTACTCACTCATACCTTCAGTCATGTCTTCTCAACCGTCCTCCTATCTTTCCCTCCACCTCAAGGGTGCTACGTTGAGTGAACGCTCCACCCCTGCAGTGCCAGGTAAGTGCTGACAATTGATGGGGCCTACGTAGCATACTTACCCCTGTACAGACAGGCAACGCCCAAGCAGCCCATCTACAGCCTCAGACGCTGAGTCTGAACAATCCAGTGGAGGGAAGAGAGGTGACACTCCTTCAAGTACTCAGTGACAGACGTATACTCACTCAGTTATAGATTCGGAGGACCCAGATACGAGCTTCAGTGTGGACGAAGGCCATACTGACGGACGTGCCCCCGGCTGTGACCTAGAGGATAGGCTGAAGGAACTTGAGAGGACGTGGCTTCTACCCCCACACTCTGTCAAGGTCTTCGGGGATTGGCTAGAGGAGCCTCTGTTTCCTGTGGTACGCAAACAAGAACCACGTGTAAGTTCTTTTCTTTTCTTGTCTAGGCAGGCTGAATAACTCTCTGACCTTTAAGGTCGTGCCTATCTCTGTTCAAGAGTGGAGCCAAATTGTCCAGTTCATCGTTGAGAAACAACCTAAGGTTATCAGATTTTTCAAGTGAGTAACGCTCACGTAAGGGCTATTTTGTGGTGCTGAACCCAAGTATTAGATTCCTTCGGGACGACATGACAGAGACCGTGGAAGTCCATGGAAATATAGGAGCTGTCCACCAGGAGGCTAGCTCAAGGATGGGCAAAATATGTAAGATGAATACGGAGACGTTCGTCAATTATTTCCCAGAGCTGCCAGAGAAAGGCGGTAGAGGCGGTAGATCCTCTGCATCGTACAATGAGTACGATCAAGAGTCAGACCAGGTGCCTACTCAAGAGATTTCAGAGCACGAAGGCTCAGCGAAGGCAAGCGCTGTTGGCCGGGGCTTCACCGTAGCGGACAACATTGGTAGCTGCCAAGTGCGCCAACCTTTCCCTGCCTCTCCAACCACAGATTCCAGAGTCGACATCGCACCCCTCTGGAGCGTTGAGGTATCTGACAAGCAAACACGCGATGAAGTGTTTGCCAAAGTAAATTGTCTTTATACGTCTCCAGCTTAGCCTACAGCTAATGTTGTCTTCGCAGACCCACGATGCGGCGCTCATCAAAGTAGGTGGTCAATATAAGTACGGTCCCACGGCACACCTCATCCTGGATGTGAACGAGGCCCCACGCAATACCAAGTCACACCCTGAAGCGTTGACGATGGAACGTTGCAAGGCTCTCCAAGGCATCCCTCGCCCAGACCCTGACGACCCTATAGTCCTTGACCCTGGGTACGTTTACGATGGGAAGGTTATCCAGGGTCGCATCACCGCTACTCTGTACGTCTTCTATGGGCAAGCAGACTTGGAGCTCCTCAGGGAAGGCCTGCGGCTCAACAAGCCAGAGGAGTGGTACATTGAGAGGGGTATCGCAGCGGTGAGCCGGCGTTGAACTTCTGCTCAGCAACACCACGTTGATTACCTGTCAGCGTATCCTAACTGGCTGGCAGGATGCCAAGCATTTAGAGGATAGGAGGCGATTTGACAAGGGCAGCTTCAGCCAAGCCGTTGTCGGTATGCGTTGTACTGTCTTAAACCAGGGAGCCTACCTCTGGTTCAGGCACGAGCCTAATGCAACTGATGCGGCTGCCGCTGCCTTCCTGGAAAGGCTCCAAGCAGATGACACCAAGCCTGAGAGGTCTCTTCCTAGGGGCCATTCCTCCTCCTCCTCCTCCTCCTCCTCCTCCTCCTCCACCTCTGCTGGTACTCCTTCTACTGTTGCTGACGTAGCCAACAAGCTACTAGACGCAGCAAGGAAGAAAGCCAAGGAATTACCTGCACGATCAAATCTGTCTTGGATTGCTAGTAGCATTGCCGTAGCGGCGAGGCAGGCGGCTCAGCAGGTCGCAGAGAAATCCAGTCAAGACTACCGTGCTGAACCTGGGGTTCAGTTCGGCGACAGCACTACCGTTGACGGGTCTACTCTCCATGACTGGGCAGCAGACGACGCGCTCAGCGACTACGACCGACGGGCCAAACGGAACGAGCGAAAGCGCCCTCGTTCAGAGGATAAGAAGCCCGCTGGCCACGAACTAGATGAGGAAGCCGAGGGCGCTGAGGTGAACAGGAGAAAGCGCCTTGCTCAGCTGGTGCTGAACAGGCCCGTTGCAGTGCCTTGGGCTGGCACTCTGAGCATGGCCGACAATAGGGAGAGGGAGGCAGACGATGCAGAGATGGCGAAATGGGAAGAGGAGCAAGTCATGAAAGGAGGTGATGGGGACCCTAGTGACGACTACTCACCTTCGAGTTGAAAGGCCGCTATCTTGTCTATATTTCTTCTATTGGTCTTGCTTTGTGCCCATCGCTATCTCCATGTTGTTGCTGTACGCCGCTCTCACTGATGATGCCATCACTCTCGTCACAACTCACTACGCCACGCCAGTAGAGTCAAACGTTGAGTAGGCTTTCGTATAATAAGAGCCAGCCTAACGCCTAATGTTACTCCCATCTACGAGGTTGACTTGACCTGCGTGTGGCACTCAATCAATCAAAGGCTCATGGAGGCGAGGGAGGGGCGTGGATTGTGACACACGACATACAGAGTTGATGGATTGGATACAGGCAATACGAAGTCGGCGTCATGAATGGACTTCAGCTTGATATGTTTATGGCCATAACTCGAACACGTCCGGTGAGTCCTCTGGGAATCAACCGACCTCGCACAAGACACCATGGGAACCCGCGTGCTCCAGCCAGTATGTTGACTGCAGGACTCGCATAACCGTAACGTATCTGCAAAGCATGAGAAAATGAACACTGAGCCAAAGCTGCCTTCGACGGAGAATTCAAGGCTGAAGACTGGCAACGCACCTTCAAAAACTCTGATCACAAGAGCAACTTGATCGCTCTCTTGCAAGATTCCTAACCGCTCCAGGCAGATGATCCACCAGCAGAGAAAGTTGAGCTCCATGCCGCTGCCGTAGTTGATACGTGTCTGTGTCCTATTGCCTTGCTGAAGTAGACCGCAAGCTCGGAAATTGCTGCTTCCAGCAGGTTTGGGAGTTTGGTGTGTAAGGACGGAACAGCCTAGTGAAGCGATAGGTGAGCGTACTGAGACAGGCGAACGGAGGCACAGTGTTTGAGAGACATGGCGTGATGGAAATTTCACCACACCTTGAACGTGGAGCACAGTCCCTATGTGACTTGCTGGGGCATGTGCGGCAGAGGAAGGACTACGGGTGCCCGCTAGTCCGAGGATGAGGCTTTTGCGCCACACGCCTGCGCCACATCTCGTGGCACGCCTTGTCTGTCTTTGTGCTGTGTCCAGGTCATGAAATACTTGTCTTTCGGGCTTGTCTATATTATTTCTGGACTGTACGTGTCAAAAACAGTGGGAAGAAGGTGTCAAGAAGGTGGAATTGACAGTCTAAGAGCGTGAGGGAGGTCGGCGCGTCAGGATGTGGTAAGCGCCGTCTCAGGTCTGTGCCTGCGAGTTCTAAGCGAAATATCAAGCACTATGGCGAGGAAACACAAGAGAGCTACAACGCACGGATGTGTCTCCAAGGCAATTCAGACGAGACCAGGAACAGACGCAAACCGTCACTGTGATGTCAACCCTACCTCACAGATGGCGAGCACTGGAGCTCAGTTATTTCAATAAGCGACGGTTGGAGCTTTCGTGAGCAGGAAGTTGGACTGACAATGGGCTGCGGTAGGACCTGTCACCCAACTTCCTCTTGGGCTTCAGGCTTCTGTCCGCATACTCGGGAACGATTTAGAGATTTGAGCCCATAAGACTATACTACTCACCTTGGCGGCGAGGCGACGAGATTTTGAATTGTCATTGTGACAGACAAGAGGCAGTGATCGGTCGAACATACCTCGTTCTCCGCTGGTCAGGCTTGTGATGCAGACGGGTACGGGTACGCGGGTCACGGGTGCGGTATGCGCCCTGCGCACCCGTGGTGCTACCCGTGTCCAACCTTACGCGGCTGCCTCGCCCACTCTTCGCTCACGCACACGCCGTCCAATCGTTGGCCGTGTCTGCGCGCTGGGCAGTTGCCCAGCGCGCTCGCGGTTGACGTGTGGGGTGTTGTGCTACACATCATCACGCCCTGTGTTTGCGGACAGCTAGCTCGCTGGCGCGTCTCTGGACTCACCTTCCTTCGCCTGCAGTCCACTCGTGGGCTGCGTCTCCACGCAGGGCATTCGCGCTGCGTGGTCGCCGTCAATGTGTGTCGTGCGGCGTGATGGCACGCCCTGTGCCCACCCATTCACCCGCCCGCCTCCCCGCCAGCTCACCAGTCTCCCCACTCGTCCGCTCTCCCGCCCTCCCACCCAACCACCCGCTCTCTCGCCCGTCCAGTCGCTCTCTCACCTCCCTACCTACCCACTCGTTTGCGTGTCGGCTTGGTGCACACTTGCGGGGCAGCCGTCGATGCTCAAGCACGAGAGCGAGGACGGAGCGGACGACACTTGGGAGCCAGCGCCACACATGCAGGAATACCGCAAGGAGTCAGGGTCAGAAGGTTACGTCATACTCAGCTGGAAGGAGGACGTACGAGGCAGAGTGGCGAGAACGACTTGAGGCCTATGGATACTAATAAGCATGAGCATGGTCAAGATCAAGGCACCGAGGAGCACTGTAGGCTGAGTGATGAATGAACCGGAGGAGTGTCGACAGCGCCGAGTCGTACACGGACGGGCATGCGAGGATGCAGCGAGAGCCGTGTCCACTTTCTCGCACGTTCCGGGCCTTGCTGACACCTCCGTTATGCTGTTTCCGATGCGAAAAGTGCGAAAATGAGGCTTTCGAGCCAATCGGGTGGGTATTGAATGTGCTCGTGAGAAGCGAGAGGAGAGGCAGGCGTGAGTTGCGATGCTGGCGGAGGCGCGTGGCGCAAAAGCTTCATCCTCGGACTAGCGGTAACGGTAGAGGACGGAAACTGCAAGTCTGAAGCGCTCAATTCGGCGAACCCGATCGCGGGTCGACTCGAGCCACCACTGCTACACCTCGCCCTCCACGTTGCTTGCCTGCCACCATAGACGTCCGGACACACAGACAAGCCGTCCACAAGAGACAGGGTTTGCGCATTTGCAGGTGAGCTCACGCCTGCCAGTGCTATACCCCGATTAAGGTTGACGTGTGTGCTTCCCCAGCAACTTCTGGAATCTATGCCAGCCCCAGCGCAGAACCTCCCACAGCCTGAGGTCCAATACGTTGGCTTCTACCGTGCCAACGTAGGGAAGAGTGCAGTTCACAAGGCAAAATTAGAGGAAGATGGCTTCGTATACTGTGGATATCTCAACACGCAGGATTATTCCCACTTCCCTCCGCCACCTGCCCCAAAGGTCAAAACAAGTACGCAAAAACGAGTGGTCATAGACCTCGTCTCAGACAGCGAAGACGAGGCGGGAAAGGTGAGTGTCCTCTATTTCATGCTTCAATGAGCCCTGAATACCTTCTCTTGCCCAACAGCCCACTTCCTCGACTACGACTTCCTTGTCTTCTAAGCCTTCCTCATCTTCTACAACTTCCTCGTCTACTGCGAAAGAATTGACCACCACCGGGCCACGCAAACGCTCAAACGGTTCACGCAAACGCAGCAAGTCTACCCAATGTTTGCCGCAGAAGCAAGCGCTCAAGTGAGTTGTCCCTGATTCAACGCTGTGCCCCTCTGATTTTTATTGTTTATTGTAGAGAAGGTGTAAGGCGTAGCCTGAGATTGAGGAGCTAGGGTCACACAGGGAACCATGGGTGCGGACTCCTGTGTTGGGTAGTAGGGATGGTGTATAGAGTCAATATAACGCCTATCTTACGCAGCACCACTTGATTGAACGTCTGTCCATCTGACCAGAGAGGAAGAGGGGTGTAATTGGTGAGGTGTGTGCTACATACATGCATGTGTAACCATAGTAGACGTGCATATGTAATCTAGTCATAAGCATCCCCTTCGCGGCGCCATCTAGTGCGGTCTTCCCGCCCAAGTTGACGCCAAGTGAGAGAGGTCTCCACGCCCAACTTGAAGCCCAACCACTGGAAGCCGTGCTCCGCGCCAACAACAGCGTGAACAGATAGTTCTATCTGTTCAATCCCACCTTGGGCCCTAGCCACGTAGAAATAGCAAGGTGATTCACAGAGGTGTACCACGCCCTGGGCACGTACAGCTGCGGCTGCTTTGTGATTGCAACCTCACCGGGCGCACAGTGATCGCCGTCGTCACCGGGCGTGGAGCCAGCAGAACCGCCAACAACACCGACTTCGCTGCGACGGGTCTGAGAGGCACGAAATCGCTCTGCATGACCTCGTTTGAGGTCTCAATACCGAGCGGTGTCCGGACCTCCTCTACCTCCTCCTCCTCCCGTTTCTTTCTCAACACCAAGCACGATCCCCTGCCCCATACTCCCCCACCCCCTCTTGTGCTCCCTCTCAATCCTCATCTCGATCCGCTTCAGCGTCGGCGTATCAGCGCTGATACGCCAGCGCTGTACACGAAGAACGACCTCCGCTTCTCGTTCCACAGGCAGAGGTACGCCTTGGGCAGCGAAAGCTTCCGCCACGCCATCAGCAGCGTGAGCGCGCGCACACTCGACTCAGTGTACCCGTCCGCTGAGAAGATAAGGATTTTGGCGGGGCGTGTATGGTAAGACGCAGGGAGCGGGGTCGACATGGACGTCCCTGATGTGGCAGCGGAGGATGAGACAGATGGTGCGAGCGATGAGGACGATGTCGACGTGTTCGATGACGGTGGGGACGGGGGCAGGAAAGTGGCAGAGGTCGAGCGGTGCGAGTATATGCGGACGGAACAGGTGAGGAAGGGAAGAACGTTGCGGGGAATGCAGTGGGCGGCAGGAGCAAGCTGGGATGGAATGCCGAAGTCGACGCTCGCCGGGAGCCAGACATGCTCGACAGGAAGGTCTCAATCGGTGGTGGGTTAACGAGCGCCCTCGCCTGCACAAGGGTCGTCGCAGGTGGAGGGACTCGATGAGCTGCATAAGAGGCATCAAGGCGTTCAGCGAACCCGGCGGGTTCGTAGGCGAGCTCGGGAACGGAAGGTGGATCACCTTGCTCGCGCTCCGTGGCGGGTGGAGCGGGATACATGCCTGCTCTGCGTCCTTCTGGGAGACAGGGCCCAGCTCGGCGACGCAACGCTCAACCCATCTTCTCTCAAGCGCCTCGATGTGTTCTTCAGCGGCCTTGACTTGTGCAGCGCTCGGCCGTGGGAGGGAGCTTGGTGGCGTAGAGAGGACTCATTAAGTGTGAGGTACCAGAGGGGCACCTCCTTGTGGACTTCTGGTAGCGCACGTCCTGGCCCTCCTGCACTCGCACGTTCAGCGCCACCTGCCAGACGTCCTTGGGGTGCCAAATGTAGAAGTGCTACACCGTGGATTTGCACGAACGGGGCTGTCAGACATCACAGAGCGCTCAGGGAGGGAGGGACACTCACTGCAATCGTATGGCGTGCACAAGAGTTGGTAGAGCATCTGCTCGGCGGCGTGAGCTTGGTGTTGTTGAGCGTGAGATCGCTGTTAAGAATCAACAACTCCGTGCCGTTCTAGCAGCTGCCGCAGGAAGGTGCCGCTGCGTGTGCCAGTCAGCATGCTGGGCAAGAAAGAACAACGACACGAAAAGACTCACGTGCGGACTACAACGTCAGAGCCCTGGATCGAGAGCTGCATCGGAAGGTCTCCCAGGTGGCCGTCCCAAGACAGCCACGAGCAGGGCGGCGAGCCAAGGAGGACTTTAGAGGCAGGCGGACGGTCGACGGGCGGGGCTCCCGCCACTGCGGCGGAGGAGAGGTCGGCACCAGGCGCGGCTCCGTCTCGACTCTCGACCGACGGTATTATTAGTATACTTACGCCCAGGCCGCAAGCGCAGGTGAGTAGGTCGCCCCCCAGGAAGGCGAAACTTCGCTGATTATGTAATCGCGCGGGACCCCGCGCGTCACCCTTTAGAGACAAGGGCTCTTGGCTGGCTCTTGGTACGTCCCGGTAACAGTTCTCGCCCAACTACCGTACTTACCTTGACGGTACGCTGCAGCTCGCCACTTGCTGGGTTCGGTTCCTTCAGGCGCTCGCACTTGTCTACTAAGCCATGATGCTTGCCACTCGTATCTCCCCTTGATCTATCCCTCCGCGTCTACGACCCTCTACCTGTTGGGTGCCTCCACCGGGGCACGGGGAGATGCGTTGGCGAACGTGCAATGATTAGAGCACAGCATCTGAGAGGTAGTCTTTGCGTCAGTACGTGATTCTTTACACTCAGGAGAAGGCACAGGCTCATGTGTACGGATGTGAGCGCTTCGAACGAGGTCTTACTAGGTACCCTCGCGGGATCCCAGAGGAACGCCTACGTTCGTGGTCAGGTATCCTCCGTCACTGCGAAGTTGCTGCTCAAAGCTTCCTTCTTTAGAAAAACCGGCCGCATCTCGCCACACTTACAATATTGTACGCAGCTCGGTCGGCGACGTGTGGGTCACCTCCTCAGGCTGAGCGACGCCCGCAAGCAGGCGACGCGGAGCGGCCGACAACACGCCTGTCTGACCCGCCCCTGCTTGAAGTTCCCCTCTCCGCTCTCTCCGCTTCTGTGCTTCAGCGCCTTCATCCGCAGTGGAGATATCGCCACGCTAGGTCACCGTTCTGTGTCCCTCCATCTCACTGATTCATTAGTAGACTGGAGGACTCGGAGGGTATGCAGATACTTCTCGGCATATCTGCGACGTACAAGATGCTTGCCGGCTTGTACGCTCTGCAACGGAGACTACGCACGCCCCGCTCGCACTGATCGCGCCGTGGCCCAGACGAGCTGCAAGCCTGCCAAGACGACGAAGCCGCACTGGCCTCATCCGCCCCTGCCCCTGCCCCTGCCCCCGCCGCCTGCCCTCTTGGATCGCGGCTCAACGTCAACGCTCGCTGCTCGCGCCGCTCGCATCCTTCCCGCGCCGCTCCTTGCTCCGCGCTTCCCCGCCGTTCAGTCCGCCGAGCGGGTAAGTCAGTACCAGGAACCGTCATGACGGCACTCACCTCCTCCCTGAGTAGCACGAGACAGGCCGTTACGCGCTGTGTCCGTTGTCAACTTATGTCAATGGGACAAGCTCGGCGTACAGAGTCGCGTCCGCGCCGTTCGCCCTGCCATACACCGAGAGAATATGAGAGAATATCGACAACAGCCTACTACTTACGGTCGAGAGCGCGTGCTCCCCGTGCGTTCCCCGTGCGGCGTCGCCTGCTCGACAGCTGTGTTCGTGGGGCATCGTCAATCTGACTCATCAGCGCTCACTGTATACTCAGAACGGCAACGTAGGTACATTTCGCCATCCGGCGAGCGACACCTAGGGCCAATTGTGAAGCACGTTGAAGTCGGGGCCTGGCCGCGCGAATGGTGGTCAGGGCGAAGACGACGTCCAGCGGTCCAGTGACATATTGTATCAGGTACGTCGTCAGCCTAACACTCATGCTAGCGTAACACTGACGCAGTGTGCACGGGGGCAAGCCTGTGCTGTGTCCCCACGCGCGTAGTCGTCATAGCGAGCAGCGCGCGAACGCTCTGCCCATCACTCCTCTTATCGAGCCCGTGACTGCTAAGTCGGTCTCATGTATCGGGCTCGCTGTGAACATGGATACCGCCGTCCGGAGGGCGGGCGACTGTGAGAGGTGAGCAGTCTTTCTCGTCTTTGTTTCACGTTCACTGATTGCTAGCAAACTCGTACAGGAGCCCCGTTGGCTGAGCCTTACCTTCCGGTCAGGAAGCCGGCAAGTGGCCCTCCGCTGAAGTCGCGTAACGACGTTGGCTCCTTTGCGCCGTTGACTGTGATACTCGTCGCAGTCGTTCCCGACGAACCGTACGGTGAGTGAGCTTGTCGCGAGCTTGCACGTCGTGTTGACTGAGATGGTCGGTAGGGGCTCGCGCCGCGACGGCTGCCACTTGGGCGCGTGTTGCAGACTCCTCTACGGTTACTAAGTAATTCCATTGGCTGTGACACGTCTAAAGTACACTTGAAGCATGGGGAAGGACGCGAGCCGCCGCGCAGGGGCGCTGGAGAAGGGAGCTCATTTGTCGTCGGCGGAGAAGTACGTACCTGGACCCGTGTTTTTGACCCTCCAGCCAATCCCTGCGCCCGCACGTAAGCTCCCCACACCCGCCATGCGACGATCCCTGCCCCACCCCCACACCACACTCGCACGCTCTGCACCAGCTATTCGCAACAACCAAGGTTGAGCGCGCAGACGTACGGCAGCACACGACGGCCTCCGAGCGTGGAGAGGTGCCTCCCGCCAAGGACTCCCTCGAGCCCTGCATGCGCGCGCTTCTGCGCAGCGGGGAAGCGCACCATCGCGGCGAGGAAGCCGAGGGAGGAGGAGGTGAGTGGGAGCATGCCACCTGGGCGGGGGAGGGAGTGCTGACGCTGAACCTGTAATGCAATCGTGTTTGCGTTACTGTCCAGCACCCGCAACGCGAAGGCTTTTCCGATTGCCAAACTAAATTTCATGCATCTTGAGCACACCCTCAACCTTTTTAACGCCCGAAGGACGGCTGGAACATGCCGTCTGCACGCCGGTATACGCCCGCCAAAAACGGCGCTGCATAATAGGCGCCGGAAACGCACCGTACGATTTTTCCTGAGGTGCGCAGAGCAGGTAGCTCTTGATGCGTTGCGTACGTCGATAAGTTGGTCTTGTTGTTCATAAGTTGAGTTTTTTGACAGGTTGTCTGACAGGTCCGTCCAACACGCCCGTCTTCTACCGAAACTCCAACGCGTCGGACGGCGCGCTCGCTGGCTCGGTCGTCCTCAACAATGTCGTGCGGTGGAACAATGTGCCCACGGCTGTCACTGTCCTCAACGGCGCCGAGGTGCTCGCCGGCGGAACGATGACGATCGACTCATCTGGGGCCAGCCTGAGGGCAGCGTGTAGTGCTCCGGCCACAGGCGGTTCCGCGAAGTTCATGTCAGGGAACATCGCCGCGCATACGAAGGCGAGCGGCCTCCTGTCCAACAGCCGGATCTTCGGGCGGACGATCCCGCAGTACGAGGACTATGCGGTGAACCAGTTCGTGAGCGTCAACGGCCAGGGCGCGGCGGCGGCTCGACGGACGACGCCGCCGCGCTCCAAGCTGTGTTCAGCCAGGTATGACTCCGGAGTCGTTCCCGGCGTGTGTTAGGTGTTGCATCGTACTGACCCGCCGTCTGTTAGTATTCTGGCTGCTCCATCATCTACTTCAACACGGGAACGTACATCGTCTCCAGCACGCCGCAGATCGGGAGCAAAAGCTGGAGTATGGGTATTAGCGTTACAGTACTGTAGCAGTATGTATGCTACAGCCGTATCATAAGTCCCGTGGCCCCACGAGCCGCGGGCAACGGGGAACTGCACTTTCAGGCATTGGAGGAGGTAGAGGGCAGCGAAGATCACGGAGGTGTGCAGTAGTGTCCTATGGAGGGCGTAGGCGATAAACAATGCGGGAGGCAGCGACGGTGCTGGCGGATTGGCGGTGGATAATGGAGGGAGGTCCAATAACGCAAACAAATGTGTCACGAACCTCGCATAGAGCTTTGTAGTCTCTTCATGTCCGTAATACACGTTGGGCTGTGGATGGATCAGCGAGCGAGTTGGTAAAGCCATTGCTGCGTCAGAGTAGGTGCTCGGTACTCACGATTGTGTCGTGCATGTCACGGCCGCTTGATATTGCAGATGGCCGTTTCTTACAGGTGCAGTCTCAGCGAGAGCGAGTCGGGACGGGGACTGTTAGGGACTCACTGTAGGCCAGTGCCGCATGCGCATGTGGCGGATGATGTCCGGGACTCCGGGCAACCTGTCAGACAACCTGTCAAACAACTTGTCCAAGAACCTGTCAACTTCAACGTCAAGAACAACGTCCCGAGTTGATGCATGACAACGTCGAAGAGTCCTTTCGACAAATGACAGGTTACCGAGATGACCTGCTGACGCTTCAGCAAACAGTCTCGGAGGAGGAATTTTCGATCTCCATACTCACCGCACTTTGAAGGGTACGGCCGGACAATTGCTATCCTGTCGAAAAAAACGGGTTGATGTTGATGTTGACGGCCTCGAGCTGTTCTGTTTGTTAGTCCCGAGACGTCGAACGTTGTGTTGAAGACATTTTACACAAGTTGGGTACGTTGTTCTTGATGTTGAAGTTGACAAGTGGTTTGACAGGTTGTCTGACAGGTTGCCCGGCAAGCGCCGGGCATCCGCCACATGCACTGAACCGCGAACAGGCCTACAATGTAACAGCGAGTCTACGCTCTCCGTCCTGATCCACTGTCGCTGAGACGGACACGAAGAGATGCGAAGCCCTTTACGAGGTTTGTGACGCATTTGTTTGCGTGCCCGGTCCTCCCTCCATTATCCACCGTCAATCCGCCAGGACCGTCGCCGCCTCTCGCGTTGTTTATCGCACACTCAATACTAATCAGACTGGCTTGAAAGCCTCATTCTCGCATTCTACGCATATGAATCGGCACAATGGAGGTGTTAGCAAGGCCCCGAATGCGCAAGAAAGTGGCCGACGTGGGCTCCGAGTACTAGTATGAGTAGTGACGGCCATGGAGACACGAAGTGCGCGTGCCAGCGTACGAGTCTGAAGTACTTGATAAAGGTTACGAATGTATGTGAGTACTGTACCGAGTACGGTAACAACATCATGCAAGATGTATGGTTTTGAGAGGTATCGTAATTACTGCGATCAGCTCTGCAGACTGCAGTACAGTGTACAAGTATGCTAGAGACCCCCATGTTATTAACTCGATAGGACGAGGAGGCTCGAGACCAGTGAGGTGATGAGTGCCGCCGAGCCCCGTCTTGTGACCTCAGCGAACCAGTGTACGCCAGTCGGAGCGAAGGGCGGGAGCTGTGCGAGAGATGCGAGCGTGGGCAGGAGGCTCTTCGCTGTCAGCTGTGCGCAGGGGAATCTTAGAGGGCTGCACATTGAGCAGGCATGGGGAGCATTCACCTGAGCCCACTGAGAGTCAACGTCATTGTCGCCGGCTATGGTGATATTGAGGTCATACAAGAGCCTGAGGCTGTTCTGTAGGGTGCCGGCACCACGAGTTCCGAGTGCTAGGGAGAGCGTACGCCACTCGGAGTGCATGGTGGATGAACCACTCGGAGTGCATGGTGGATGAACTTGTTCTTCGAGGAGGAGGTCGAGGACGCGCTGCGAGATGCGATGAACCCGAACCCACTCAGCATCCCGCCTATCACGACACGACGCAGGGCAACCTCGAGCAGACCATCCACATGTCTGCGACCTGCTCGACACGCACGGCCTCGCCGTCAAAGGACACGAAATAGAGCTAGGTTACGTTCACGAATTGGGGCGATCGCGCGCGGATCTCAATCGGTCAGTCCGCCTTCGCGGCCGTGACGCTCGCTGCCTCATCATCGAGGTCGCGCACAGTCGTGTAGAACCGCGCGCTCGTCGAGACAACACCGGAGTACGCAGGGTCGAGGACGAGGTATCCGCCTGTGAGAAGGACCTTGCCGGGGACATAGACGACGGTCGTTGGTGGTGAGAGTGCCACTGAGAGTGATGGGTGCGGCCGCTCGATCGTCTCTCACGAGCGGTCATGGGGCCATCATGCATTGTTGGGCTCGTCAAGCGCGTCGGGCGCAGGCGACGAGTGACGAGAGGCGACGTGGTTCAGACGGTGCACGGACCTGTCAGGTGACCTGTCAGACAACCTGTCAAACAACTCAACTTATGAACAACAAGGCCAACATCAACGTACGTACGGTGCAATATCAACATCAATGCTCGAAAAACGACACCAAGATCAACATCCGTACGTCAGGTTATTTTTGTCCGGCGAGGCCCTTCATACGCTCGTCGAGACGATGACACCGGAGTACGCAGGGTCGAGGACGAGGTATCCACCTGCGAGAGGTGAGAGCAAGGTGAGAGTGATGGGTGCGGCCGCTCGATTGTCTCTCACGAGCGGTCATGGGGCGCCGGCCATCATGCATTGTTGGGCTCGTCGGGCGCGTCCGAAGGCGCAGGCGAGTCGGCGACGAGAGGCGACGTGGTTGCACGGACCTGTCAGGTGACCTGTCAGACAAACTGTCGGACGACTTGTCAGACAACCTGTCCGACAACCTGTCAAACAACTCAACTTGTGAACAACAAGACCAACATCAACATACGTACGGGGCAATATCAACATCAACGCCCAAAAAACGACACCGAGATCAACATTCGTACGTCAGGTTGTTTTTGTCCGGCGAGGCCCTTCATACCGCACTCCCGGAGTCGTGGAATACGTTCACGGCGGCCCTTGACTATCGCACGGGCTTGAAGGACTCCGCGAAATTGATCGCTCGGATCTTGGACGAGGATCGGCGCGTAAAGTCTCGCGCCAAGGAGACGGCCTTGCATGGGAAGTTCCAGAAGTCGAAAGGGAAGGGCAAGCAACCCCTACCCAACTGCTGGAAGTGCAACAAGCCAGGATACCAGGCAGACTGCCCAGATCACGAGGGAGCGGCGAGGAGAAAGAAGGAGAAGAAGCGCACCGAGCAGAAGTCCAGCGAGGACAAAGGCAAGGGCAGCGAGGAGAAGGCAATGGTGGCAGATACGTCAGACGCAGGTGGCGACTACGCGTTCATAGCCACGGACACCGCGTCACACATGGACGGCGACCTCGCACTCGCAGCTCTTGATGCCGACGATTGGCTCGGGGACACGGGAACGACGGTGCATGTTGCGCGTCGTCGGGAGTATTTCTCGGATTACCGCACCACGCCGGGCGCGACGCTGAACGGTTCTGGATCGACTGCAGTACTTGGACGAGGGACGATCAAGGTCCATGCGGACGTAGATGGTCAGCAAAAGTCGATCACCCTCAAAGACGTTGTCCACGCACCTGCGATCCCCCACAACCTTGTCTCACTCGGACGACTGGAGGCAGCTGGCCACAGGATTGAGATCAGTGGTGGACAGTTGGATGCGAAGGATGAGAAAGGACGCACCTTTCTGCGCGGCAGCCGGATCTCGCGCTACCTGTATCGCATGGTCATCAGCCCAGAACGCGAGGAGAAGACTCACCTCGCGGCACCAGTGCGCCCGAAGCAGTGGAAGACGTTGGACAAGTGGCACCGGATCTTCGGCCACATGGACGCCCGCGCGGTCTTGACGCTGAAGCGCAAGGGGATGGTGACGGGTCTAGAGATCGACGAGTCAGAACCGACGCACGAGCAGTGCAAGACCTGCGTGGAGGCAAAGCAGCACGTCGAGCCGTTTCCGAAGAAATCACTCACCGAGGTCAAAGAGATCGGCGATCTGACTGTCTCGGACGTGTGGGGACCGGCTCGGACCGCAGCAATCGGAGGTCAGCTGTATTACGTGTCATTCACGGACATCAAGGCACGACGAACTGTCACTTACCCGATGCGGCAGAAGTCGGAGGTGCTGTCGAAGTTTAAGGAGTACCGCGCAATGATGAAGACATTGTTCAATGTCGAGTTGAAGAGCCTGCGGGCAGACAACGGCGGTGAATACATCGGAAAGGAATTTTTTCGACTAGATAGCAATTGTCCGGCGGTGCCCTTCAAAGGAGGGGGCGTACCTGCAGACATGGTCATGGCGATGAATTTGAATTGGGCCTCATCGAGGTCCATGCCGTCCCGCGGGTTGCCGTAAAGGTTCCCTATGAATGACGTGCTCGGCGCGCCCGACGTTCGCGTCCTGTGAGCGAGCATCCCCATCGAGGAAGGTGAAACATTGGGCACCCGATCCTCGCGGACGAGGTCTGCTGTGCCGTTCGCAATCTCCCAGAGACGGTCGCGCCAGTAGGTTGCGAGCCACAGGAGGCTCTACCCGGGTGCCCAGTGAGGCAGGTAGCATACTGCCGGCGGGACGGCGTCAGAGCAAGCGCGCGGGTTGGAGGAGGTTGGACGTACGGAACGGTACCCGGTCGATGTTGGAGTACGTCCCGGAACCCGGCGTGTCCGCGGTTGCAGCGAACGCTCTCGCAATGCGTGCTCAATGTTGGCGTGGTATGCGGCGAGGCTGCGCCGGGTTCAGCTCCTGGCGGAATGTCTTGCGCGTATGAGTAAACGTCAGGCCCGGGTCCATGAACGGCAGCGTCGCGACCAGGTCAGACCTACCATCATCGACCACTCTCTGCCGGATGAGCAGAGCTGAAGACGCGAAGGACGACATGGCACAGACGGCGCCCAGACCTGTCAGGTGACCTGTCGGACAACCTGTCAAGTAACTCAATTTATACATCAACGTTTCAACATCAAACATCAACGTACGTAGGGTGCAACGTCGACATCGTTGACGCTCGAAAAACAACACCAAAATCAACGTACGTACGTCAAGGTTACCTTGGTCCGGCCAGGCCCTTCGTAGTATGGGGTCGAAGTAGGGCTTGAGTGCGGCCCAGTTCTGCTCGGGCAAGTTGTCTGTGCTTGAGGCTCAGAGCGGCGTTCATGACGAGGCCGTGGCTCCGCAGGTTGCGCAGGCTGGCACACTCGACGCGCGCGCCAATGGGCTTGCGCTCGGTGTTGTAGCTGTCAAGAAGTGAGTCGTACTTCGCCTCGTCCTGCAAAGCAAGGTCGAGCTTCCAGATCAGGTTCGTGACGTCCTGGACCCCACGGCGGGATGCGATGCGCAGCGTCGCCGGCTAAGAAGACACCGTGACGTTTCGTGGGGCGACACCGCTCTGCGTAGATGGCATTGATGTTCCAGTGGCTGAGGCTGAGCATGTCTAAGTATGGCTAAGTCGGGAAGCTGCAGAATTTCGCGCGGGTTTCGCGGACTCGGTTCGCCATGGCTTCCGAGTCCATGCGTTCCGGGTACATACTTAGCGTCTGGCATGCAGACCAAGACCCACTCCCCCGTCTCCGGAAGCCCGTCCTGTTGCCGCCTCCGAGGTCGGGGCGGGTGAACCGAGGACCTGGACCTGTGCGTGACGAGCCACATGCGCGAGCCTCGTCCTCGGGCTGCAGTGCAGCGTCTTGGACAGCGAGCCGAAGTACAGCTACGCCCTGCGGGCGAGACGCTCCGCGCGGTGCTTGAGGAAGACTTCGCGCTGGGAAGCGTCGGTTCTTCCTGATTGAGTCGGCCTCGCTTGCATGCGGGCCGTTCGGAGGGTGCGTGGTAGTTGGCGCGGTTGGGACGACCTCGTCGGGCACGATCGACCGTCTGGACGAGATCGGCGATGTCCGCACGTGTCGCTCGTTTGCTGGGATGGTCGGTCGTTCACGCGCATACAGTGAAGGACTATCCTGATGTTTGGTTCCACGTCGATGTCGCCTGGGCTGGCTTGACCCTCGCATGTCTCGAGTATCGTGACGCCTCGCGTGTGAACGATATCAACAGATAAGTACGCGACTTCCGTAGGGGCGGCTTCTCACCGTCATTTTATTATACAGCATCAAAACAGCATGTATGTACAGGTATACCGGGTGTGCGCAAAAGCACTGAGGTGCCGCGAGCTCGCCATCAGCCATCGACGTACTCCAGCGCGGTCTTCACCGCGCGGCCTCGCGCGCGCTGCAGCTGCTCAAGGTTCATCGCGAGCGGCGCACCGATGACTGAACGTACCGCCGCATCTCCTGTGGCGCGAAGCGAGTTCTGCAGCTTCTCCTCTTCTTTGGCCTGGGCGAGGCGACGAGCCGCAGCCGCAGCACCCGAAGCTCTGCGGAGAGGTTATAGGATGCAATGGAGAGCGGCTTGATGCCCGTTTTGACGAAGGAACTCAGCTAAGATGGATTTAAGCTTTGTCTGGCCCGACTTGAGATCGCTGCCGTCAATGGACACCTTATAGCGCTCCGTGAGCTCGATGACACCCGAAACGAACGTGTTCTGGGGCGCACCGTTCACGAAGCACGAAGGGCTCGCCCTCGCGGATGTAGGCGATGGCGAAGAGCATGGAAGGCGACACCTCAAAGTGCGACGCCTTGATGGCCGCGAAGAGCGCGTCGGCGGTGTCGTTCACGCCGGGCTTGATGTTGCTGTATAGCGCTTCATGTTTGAGGTCCAGAAGATGACGACACAGTCGAGTGACTTGAGTCCGCGCTCAGCCTTGAGGCGGCGCATGTCCGCGCGGAGCTGCTCAAGGTGGACCTGCTTGTCCGGGGACGATGTTGCCTACATGACGGATTCCTATTTCATCAATCGCCTGCTGACGCGGGCACTGGCAAGGGCGGCCGCGATGGCGAGTGAGGTGCGAGTAGCGGGGCGTACCTTCGAATTTCAAGCGTTCATGCTGGTTCTGTCCACTCAAACTGCACATTTCACACACTCCTTTCCGATTGCGTTCTCCTCTCGTCGTCTTCCCACTGCGTTCCTTGTGGTTCACGCAGTCGTCTCGACCGACGCGAGCATCTTGATGTCCGGCGACTCGAAATCGGCTGGCAGACGGCAGCAGGCAGTTGGACATTATATGCGCAGGCGGTCAGGAGGACGATTGAGCGGACACGCAAGAAAGCTGACATCGGAGCGACAAAGCAGACAGGTGAATCGGGAATAGAAGCAAGACAGGCGGGGAGGCGTGAAGGTGAGAGGCTATAGACAGGTGTGCGAGGGCAGTGCGAAGCGCTCAACTCGGCGAATGCCGATTGCAGCCACAACCGCTGTTCTCGTTGCTCCAGCCTCCAAGTCTTACGAGAGTTGTACGGAGGAGGAGGAGGATACGAGAGTCTCCTTTTGGTCTACTCTAAGGCCCTTCCATCGTGTCCGCCGCCCTCTGCTTCCTCTCCTCCATCGATCACACCGTCTTGCCATCAACTGCCTGCCGTGGATCTCCAGGACACGCAGACGGCCTCGTCCTCAAGAGACGGGGCGCCGGCGAGCTGCACCGATGCACCACAGCGTCGCCGGAGGCTAACGCAGGACCCCGCGCGCGCTCAGGTTGTCTGGACGCGACCACCGGCTGCCGTTTCCGCTCTCGAACACGTCCACGTCCCGGTCCGGGACCTCACATCGGCCATTCCATCTCCCTTGCCCCAGCAACACCACTCGACGCTGAAGCGCTGAAGGTCCGCCGTCATGTCAAGCCGGCTGCGAAGTATCGCGACTCCTCCATGCATAACGGACGACGCGTCAGGCAGATATAAACTTGAACGAGCCTACATTGTCTGCTCACTCATCTGCCCACTCGCTCGCCGACCTGCCCGGCCATCCGCTTGCGCCGCTGCCTCCTCGTCCTCTGCGCCCGCACAATGTCCGATCAGCCACGAAACCGCCGCCGCCCTTAACCCGCTCAATTAGATGCCCACCCTGTCGCAAACCTCCGCAACGCACCGGAGGATAGCGCTTCCGACAGACTGCTCGACGTCGATTATTCGGCGCGACGAGTCCTCGCGCTGGGAACATGCCTCACCGCAGCAGTGTTATAACGCACTGGTGCCCTGGTACCGTGGTACCGAAGGGGTGGGAGACCCCGAAGGAGCACGTCGAGACGATGGCGCAGATACATGCCTTCCTGAACGAGCAGGCGTGGCAGGAGAATCTGAAGTGGGAGCGGAAGGAGAACCCGTGAGCCTTGCTTAACATTGTACATACTGTGACTAATGCGGACTTGTCTGACTCTGAGTCGAGGACTCACAGCTGGCGCGGCTGAAGGGACGACCCGGAGAGCTCTCGCCGAAAGCCGGTTTCTGGTTGTTCGCAGGCTGGTTGCTTCCAGCCCATTTCATACGCTCACTCCTCTCGTATCGTCGTCTTGGCTGTCTCGCCTGCGCTGTCTCGCCTGTGCATGTGCTCCCTCGCCCACCTACTCGCCCGCTTGTTCAACTTGGTCACCCGCTCGGTCAGTTACCTGCTTGCTCATTCGTCCCCCCCACTCTCCCACCTACTCGCCCAGCCTTCGCCTGCTGTTTTGGTCAGCCGCTGTTCATCTCGCCCGCCGTCTCGCTTGCGCGCTGTCACGCTATCCTCATTGCACACCTCCGCCGTCTCGCACGCCCGGCATCTCGCAGTCCCGCCCGCCTTCCCTCTCGCAGTCCCGCCCGCCTTCCCTCTCGCACTCCGTCTCGCTCGCGCTCTTCATTCCGTAACCCTGCTGTCTGCCCTCCGTCTCGCCCGCGTGCCATCTCGCCCGTGCGCTTTCGACCACGCCCTCTATTCTATCTCGAGCCTTTCACATCTCCCACCGGGCGCAGTGACCACGGGGTACGCATCAGCCTCAGCGGCAGTGGTAAGCACTGGTCCAGCTCCCCTCCTTGCCAACTAGTACTCATACGCTCGCAAACGCGGCTTCCAGGCAAGAAGACATCCTCGTCTACGCCCAGCTCAAATCTACCTCGTCCGACGTCTTCGACAGCCCCCCTCAACCCTCAACCCTCTCTCAACCCTCAACCCTCTCTCAACCCTCAACCCTCCCACCTCCTCGTCGCTTGCATCCTCCCTGACCCGCCACCCGCGCCCGTCCTCTCGCGCCCGCGTCTAGACGACCCCGGATCACGACCGCCGCGCAAGCGGGACGCGCGACAAGCAGTCTCGACCCGCGGCGATGACGGACAAAGGGAGGCACTGCGCTGCGCGCGCGAGAGGACGACACGCCTGCCCAAAGCCATGTCCGCCCCCGCCGTACCGAAGGCGGGCACTGCGGTAGGCAGGTAGGCGGAGTTCAAGGTGCCGAGCCTCTCACCGCGGGCCAGCGCGGGTGAAGGTGCGAAGGTGCGCCAGGCGAACGTGGCGACCCCACGGGACTGATCGTCGGTCGGCAGGACGGCGCGCAGAACAGGCAGTACATCTGGCGGCTCGTCGAGGCGAGTGATGCGCGGCGGCGGGACGCACCGTCCGGCTTCGGATATTCCGGCATTGGGGTCGTCTTGGACATCCCGACGTTCACCAGGACGAAGAAGATTTCGGAGCTGCCCGTGTTTCATATTGAGTACTACGCGGGACCGGGCCTCGCCGACGGCTTGAAGGCGCGGTTGATTGCTCGCGGGAAAAAGTAGGCGAACGTCGCAGGAGGCGCACATCACCTCTTCTGCCAGGGTATCGCGTCCAGATGGCACACCCAATCGTATGTAAAGCATAGTGTGAGTACTTCTCTCTTTCGATGGATTACAGGCTTTGACAAGTTACCTTCCGGTCAGGTCTCGAATCATCGATCGAAGTGCGTCATTCCAACCTTGATATTGTACGGACCGTTTCTGATCTAGCCATGCGCCTCTGTGTAATAGAGACCTTCGCGGATACGGCTCCGAACTACCCAAGGTTCCCCTACGTGACCAAGACGCTGGATGGCAAGGAGATCGACAAGCATGGGCGGCGCGCTGGCCTCTCTGCAGAGGATCAGACAGGTTCCGAGGCCCGCTAGCTGACTGACGATGAGCGTAGCCGGCGAACCGACGGCGGGTGCGCGAGCGAAGAGCAGCCGAGAAGAGTGCAGGTGCAGGCGCACTGGTAACAGCGAGCACAGATGCAAACACGATCAACGAGCGGACCGTTCGCGTGTAAGGACAGGCAAGGGCAATCAAGGACGGCAGTGGGTAAGCGGAGAATGGCGCGAGAGGACGACTCGAGTTAGCAGTGATGCACAAGGCGGGGTACGGTAAAGCGACTCACACAGCGACGACGAGTACACAGGGCGAATGCCCTGTGTGCAAACATAGCCGGCGAGTAGAGCACGGGCGAGGGTGTAGGCGAGGGCGAAGGAATGAATGAGGGCGAAGGTGTGAATGAGGGCGAAGGAGAGGACGAGTGGATGGTCGGAACGGGCGGGCGCGAGGGCGAGCGAGCGGAGAAATGGGCAAGCGGAGAGGAGATTAGCAGACCAAGGTGTGTTCATATGTCCTGAACGGACACTCTATTCTCGTCGCCTCATGCTTCTGTTGTTCAACCAAGTGCGGTGCACAGAGCCCGACAACGCGAGCGCAGTCACTCTACATGCAACTCGGGCGCGGCAAAGGTCGCTCTTGCGTCGACTACGGGCAGCAAGACCGCTCGACCTCGACCTCGACCTCATGTTGACGTCAACGAACTCGTACTCGTACCGCATATTCGACTCGCTCAGCTTGCACGAAGACACCCTCCCATGTACTCCTGGCAATGCTCTACGAGATGCGGATGGACGTGCAACACTAACACGATGTTCCACCTCATCTCGGCTCAGCAGATGGTCATCGAGACCCAGAGTACACCTATATTGTTATGGACTATTGCGAGGACGGCGACCTGTTCTCGCAAATCCTTCACCATCGTCGTCATCTGGGCAATAACGAGCTCATTAAGGAAGTATTCCTGCAGCTGCTTGACGCAGTCGAGTACTGCCATTCCCTGCATATTTATCACCGCGACTTGAAGCCGGAGAACGTGCTCTGTTTTGATGGTGGCATGCGCCTCGCCATCACAGACTTCGGACTTGCCACGACGGAGACGGTTAGTACCGAGTTCCGCACCGGTAGTGTTTACCACATGAGCCCAGGTGTGTACGGTGCATCGCGCTTCCTGGTGTTGATACTGAACAGCCTCCAGAATGTCAGGGCGGCGTCTTCGCACCTACGAGGACGTACTCTCCTCTCTTCAACGACATCTGGTCGCTCGGTATCATTCTGCTCAACCTCATCACCGGTCGGAATCCGTGGAAGTCGGCCGCAGCCGACGACTGCACGTTCCAGGCTTACCTCCGCGACCCCCTTCACTTCCTCCCCACCGTGCTCCCGATTTCAGAGGAGGTCAACATGCTCCTGGTGCGAACGCTCGAGGTCGACTGGCGCAGGCGTATCACGCTGCGCGAGATGCGCAGTGCGATCAAGGGCGTCGAGAACTTCTACTCTCCCGACGTCTTGTTCGAGGATAGCATGGCGCGGTGTCCTTGGGAGGCGGGTATCCGGGCAGAGTCCGAGAGCGAGTCCGAGGAAGAGGAGGAGGAGGCGATCGAGCCCGAGCCACAGCAGAGGCCGCACGACGAGGCGCTCGTGTCGTCCTGGAACGACTCCGACTCCGAGATGGTATTCGCGACGCAATCCGAGACCCGATCGTCCTGGGCGGACGAGTCTCTTCGCGCGCGCCACGATTCGTACAGCCGCTCGATGTCGCCATCCCCGGTGTCGCCGCTCTTCGCCCAGAGCAAGCTCTTCGACGCGCTCAACACGCCGAGCAACCCCTCGACGTACTCCGTCGTCTCTTCGTCGCCGTCAATACCGTCGCTCCCGAGGACGCCGGGTCCGGAAAGCGCCGGGTGGAACCAGCCCGCGAACAGGCGTCCTGCCCTGCGCTTGAACGTCGACATGAACAACGGTCGGCCGACGTACTACGACGACAGCGTCATGATGATCTCCGCGCGCTCGTCGTCGATGCACACCGCTCTGGAGGCGCAGATGGAAGCGTACGGGATGTACTCGCCGTACCTCTCCGCTGTCGTCCCCGACAAGACGTCCTCCCTCATGTCGGCGCAGGCGATGGACATCGAGACTCCCATCACCGGCTGCGCGGATGTGGACGCCAAGTCGACCTACACCTACCCAACGATCGGGGGCGAGAACTACGTCTGCTCTCAGAGCGGAGTCTCCCACCCTCGGCCTAGGCGAGCTGGAGTCCATGTCTGGCGAGACGACCACCATCAACGGCCTCTCCTACATCTGGAGTGCCCTTCTCGTCACAAAACTCCCCCGACACGACCGGTTCTGATTTCTTTGTCGACTGCAGCCTGACGCCCACCACGGCGAGCGACTCCAGAGCCTGATACGCGCCCTCTTCCTCTCTCCATTCCGAGCCTCTGGCCGTGGGGCTTACTCCCCACGCATATTTTGTCGCGGCGCGAAGTACTCTGCCTGGTACCTGCACCTCCCCGTTCATCTGGTGCCTTCGCCATTGCCTGTGAGTGCAAGCACTCCACGTCGATCCTGCTCAAGCTCGCATCCCCCGGGCGGTTGCCATTGCCGATTGGGAAGTCGACCGGGGTTGAGCCGCGTGCGTACGGGCACTTGGCACACTCCTACTCTGCGCCTGCCGTACTGGACAAGAAATCGGCATTCTCAGCTTGTAGCGTCGTCGCGCTAGGAGAATACTAACGCAAATGGCCCGTACAGTATCTGTGAGCGGGGACGAGGGCAAGACCGCCGGGTAAGTCACTGCCCAATTTTCCTGCCTGCGTAGCTCACCGCACACTCTCGCAGCGCGGTCAATCGTGCCATTGAGTCGCGTTCAAGACCCACATCCACGTCGGAAAACCAGCGCTGCAGCGGACCCCGCAGCCAAATCTGCGGCGCTATGCCTAAGCTTGTGCAAAATCAGCGTAGGTAAGTCTAGTTACTTTGGCCAGGCGGTTCTTAGTTCATAGGCCTAGACGACAGTAAACGGGTGACTGTCGCTGGCAATAGGTCTCAACCCATCCACCCACTCTCCCCAGACGCCGGCGACCCGGCCTCTCGCCTTCCAACCCTGCCCACCCCTTCGTCCTCGTCCTCTCCCTCCCCCAACCCGACCCTGTCTGTGGAGAACGTGCCAACGAGAGTGACGAAGGAGCGGCTCGGCGCGCGCACGACTACAGGACGACCCCTTGACGCTACCCTACGACCGGCACGTCATCAGGGCATATAACCGGAGCCCTTCGTGCTCACCTGACTCGACACCTACACAGGCTTTGAGCCAGCGCACCAGCTGATGATCACAGATGACAACAGGAGGAAGGTGCTAGACGGTAGTATGTTCCGTGTCTCACCGTGTGAGGGCGGTAGCACTAACAGCGTGACCTTTTCAAGCTCGCCCATACTAGATGCTGCTTTATTCGCCCGGTCTCGCCACATGGCCCCGCCGCCCCGCCTCCTTCGCTTCCCGAGATGGCGGACTGGTGTGAGGATCTCCATGCGCGTGTTGAGTAGGTGCGTCTCATTCCTATGGCGTCGCTGCGACTGTTTGCGAGGCGTTGGGTTAAAGTCTAAGGCACTGGTAGATTTCCACTGCAGACGCAGAGCAGACTCTCGCAGCGTCGCGCCCGTCGTAAGCACTCCCGAATGACGCAGCGTCACCCTCGTCAGGAACGAGCACATCGTGGCCAAGTCAGCGTGGCCGGCTGTTGGAGCGCGGAGATGGGGAAAGAGTGTGTTGGTGTCGAGGTACGGGCAGGTGCGTCTCGTGTCCGTCGGGCTGAGGTCGCTGTCATTGATGTGAGATACAGGGCGCCGTCGCTAGTGGGACGGGGGAAGTGTCCGGCGCGCAGAGTCTAACGCCCGCGGCAGCGTACGTTGCGCACAATGGTGCGTTCTACGTACGCCATACGTTACCACGCCAGCTCTTCCGCCTCCTCTCCTCCCTTGTCTGGTGCTGACCGACCCTCCTCCCAAAATCGTCAGCCACATTATCGACGGGTACATGCGCCGCGCCAGGACGTATTGTTAGATGTCGAAAGGCCAGCTCAACTCAACTGTTGACGGGGCGTGGCTGGTCGCCTCACAATAGGTGTATGGCGGCCAGCATTGGATCCAGCACCACAGGCCGACTTCGCGCCTGAGCGTGTAGAGAGCAGGAGAGGGAGAGGGCGAGCGTGCCGGCGACCCGCAGGCAAAGGGGCACGTTCCACCACCCTGGTGGGATCGTCACTATACAAACTAGAGTAGCATATCTGTATACCTATATTTCTGAACGCCAGGAAGCTTCTGCCGGCGGGCCCTGGGGAGCCCACGTTCGAAAAACCAGGGCAGGTTTCGCAGATTAGGTAATCACGCGGGATCCCGCGCGTCGCCTTTTAGGGAGGTTCGCCTGAGCTCTCCCCCGTCTGACAGCCATTTCCTCCCTCGCTCTGGTCTCACCCGTTCGCGCGATAATGGGAGAATATTCAGGAAACGTACTTTTGGCCCCGGAGGAGAGCAGCGAGCTGGAGCTTTTGCTATCAAGGACAGCGGACCTTAGCCCGCCCTTGGCGGCCTTGCTGGCACGCCTGAGGGAACTGGGCCCCTCCGTAACTTGTGGTAAACCTCTTAAATTAGGTGGGTACCATCCTCTGACCCCGCTTCCTTTGCAGATAACGAGCTGTGGCTCGACGCTGGGCAGGGTACATCTGCTCCGCCGGAGAGTATGTCGGCTCCGCGAGAGAGCGCGGGCGCCAAGGCCTCTGAGGGAGCCCTTGAGGATGACGGTGCGTCCGACGCGTCCGACGCGGCCAAGGGCAGGCTTTACTTACGTCAATTTCTTTCCGTGTAGAGGAAGACGGCTCCAGTAGCTGTGCAGGACCCATTCGCAGCGCTCGGGGGCGACGAGCCAAGCGGGCAGAACCGTACCCTCCCGCTCGTCCTGGTACTGGGGCGGCTCCTGGCGAACCGATGTTATGGCGGTGTCCTCGTAACGGCATCCAGTTTGTGCCCTCTCGCTGGGAAGCCAGTGCCCTTCCCGCCCCTGTTTCCAACGCTGAGGCCTTCAGGTTCACCGCTAAGCTGGCGACAAACTTGACAGACCCTAGGCTCACAGCGTGCGCTCGCTACCTGCAGCGATATACTGAGGGCTCTGCTCTGAGTCTGCCCTCCCAAAATGATCAGCTGTCCCCTGACAGCGTCTCTGCCTACGCCCTGAAGTGCGTCTACGATTCTAACAAGCTATCGGCCTCAGGCTTTGATGTGGTGATTTCGCTTATGCGCCTGGTGTACAAGTGTCAGAGGTACGTGGGTGTTGCTCTAAAACCTTTAACTAAAGCTGATAATGATTTTGTGCAAGTATGGTCTACGCCGACTCGTCGGGTAAGACCAACCTGACGAGCCTCTGGCGCCAACACGTGGAGGGAAAGGACGAGGCTTCTCCCCAGCTACGTACGTTCCAAGACTGGTACAAAATAGGCAGCAAGTACGCTCGAGTGGCGGCTGGAGGTAGGCGTCCTGCTGCCGGCCTGTTTCGAATCTTGAAACGTGCTAACGACTTACGTCCTACGTAGGGACCATATATGTTTTGCTGCTGGTGGTGCTGCAGAGGGCAAGATCCCAGCTGGGCAGCAACGATACCACGCTATCCACAGATGTTGGGAACTTGTTGCGTTGGCCTCAAGGTAAGCGTCCTTTTAGATGAGAGATATTGAAAGCTAAGGCTAAGCTTACTTTCAGGGGCCGCCAGTAAAGACGTCAAGAAGATCCTACCCGTAGTGGAAACCCTAGCACGGTGCCATCCCTTGAGCTTTGGCCAGCTCTTCCAGCTCTCAGCCCTGCAGGAAATGGGCATATCGCCAGAAACCCCCTGCAGCAACGTGGCCGCCTCTGACCATTTCTTCGAAGGCCTCACCTACAAGTACGTAACTTCTTGTCATTTAGCTTATACTCTTTCTAAACAAAAGTGAAGCTCTTTCGCCCTAGCGCCCAGGAATCACGAAGTCTGGCAAACGTTGTGCCCCCTGCTGGGTTACGTATGTATTCCGGCAGCTAGTCCGCCTCTCTCTCAGAGAGAGGAATCTCCTCTGACCCCGTTGCCTGAAACACCGTTACCTGAGCCTCTTTCTCCTGGCTCTGTACGCGTCGTTAACCTGTCCGTTCCCTACGCCCTGGACCTACTGGACAACTGTCGTTTCCCCGCCCCTAGAGATAGGGCTGAAAATGACGTTTGGACTGAGCAAGCTCGTAACGGCGCTTCGGCTGCAATAAGCCCTGCTAACCTCAGCTTGCTTGAGCATCAGGTAAGTTTTCATATTGCTCCTAATCGTTGTACTAACCCTTACCTTGTTATATTTAGCTCAGTAAGATGTATCAACACGGTCGTAGGACCTCAGCAAACACATTTGTAAGGGTCCCTTTGCACGAGGTTGAGTACGTAATATTATTCACTCTTCCAGCGGTTGAATACGTCTGTCTAACTACTTTTCAGGGACGTGCTCATGCTCAGAGGTGAGAACGGGGACCTCATAGCTGGCATTTGCACCTCCATGTCTCAGGACATGAGGGAAAGCTTGGCCTCCCGCCTTAGCGCCAGTTTCGAAAGTGATCCCTTGATCCATCGTACTACCTCCACAGACCCAGCGGACGTAACTTTCCAAACACTGCACTTTTCTTGGTACAACAGGCACTGTACTCAGGTGAGCACTATACTTGATTTCTGCTTACTAGACATTTAACCTAATATCTACAGGGTCATACAGCGCCGCAAGACGTACCTCCGCGCATGATGAAACGCTCCGGTGGGCAACGCACTAATCACTGGCAGATGCTCCCGTACCCATCTAAGGACATGGTTGAGAACCAAGGGATATACAACAACATCAAGTGTTTACTTGACGAAGTTTTCGCGTTTGTGGATGCCAAGGTACGAGCTTGCCCTTCGTCACGGTCCTCCATCCTCTAAGTAAGCTAGCAATAGGTTCGAGCCATGTTGCCTAACGAATACCATCACCTAGAAGCTACGGCTTCTACCCTTCCCGACAACAACACTTCTGCCGTGCACCCTTTCTTGGGCCTGGTCATAAACCTCAACGTCGTCACCAACGCTCACAGGGACAGCAAGGACGATACAATATGTCTTGTTTTGGCTGTCGGTGACTTTGAAGGTGGAGAGCTGTGTCTCTATGAGCCTGGTCTGGTTTTTCCTTTTAGTGGTGGTGATTTCATCGTTTTTCCCTCTTGCAGAATAACACACTACAACCTGCACTACGTAGGACGTAGGGCGTCCATAGTTCTACATACGGATCGTGAAATGGCAAAATGGGAGGGTGATCGCAACGGATGGGGTTCTAACGAGTACTTCTCTTAGCTACCTTACAAGTACTTCTCTTAGCTACCTACCTCTATCTAGTGCTTTGCGTTTCCCTGAACCCACGTACCGACCCCTACAGTCTGCGGGTACTCGCAGCGCCCGCAACTGCCAAAAGAGGCAACTCCGCCAGCGCCCAAACGAGTCGATCACAGGATTGCCACACCTCCTCCCTCTTTCTTCGCCCTCCGCCCAGCAACAAGGGAGGATCGACTCTGGCGAGCAACCACGCGCCCGCCCTCTGAGCGACGGCGAGCTCGACGTGTCGACGCGCCTGTCAAGGCCCCGCCAACGCCGCGGACCACCGACGCGCAGCGCGTGCAGCGTGTCTGCAAGTCCGACGAGCGCAGACAAGGCCCAGCAAGACCAGCAGACGAACGTCCAGGCTGCATCGGTGCGCGCAGGAGATCACAAGGAGGGCCGCTCGTCTATCGCGGGGACGAGCAGGTGCGAAGGATTGCAGGAGGTACCAGACACCAGGCACAAGAGGTGAGGGCAGATGCGTCATACGCAGCAACGCGCCAGCGCGACGCGCACGACGACCGCGAGCACGCAAGGCCAATGCCCTGCGTGTAGGCACGGCCGACGAACAAGCGGCGGGTGGACGAGCAGGCGGGTGAGCGGGCGCACGGACGGACGGGCGGGCGCACGAGCGAGAGCTCGCTGATAGGTGAGCAGGAGAGCGGGGAGACGGGCTGGCAGGCGGATGAGCAGACGAGCGAGAGGACGAGCCAGCGGGCGCGCAGACGGACGACAACACGCACACGCAGGCCGGAGATCGGGCAGGGGGCGTGGAGGCCTGGTGGGAGAGCAGACAGGCGACCGCTGACCACACACGTTGATTGCGGACGACTGTTGCATGCCTGCGCCGCACCGCGCCCGCGGGTGGGTGGATGGACGAGAGCGCGGGCAGATAGGCACCGGACACGACGGGTGGACCGCGGGCACGACGCACGGCGACCACGAGCGCGCTGGGCAACTGCCCAGCCCGCAGACACAGCCGACGAACGCACGCTCAAGCGAACGGGCGGGCAGGCGACCGAGCCGCGACCGAGCAGACGCATAGGTCACGCCCTCGTCCACGACCGCCTCGTCCCCGCCGTCTGCGCGCACAGCGATACCCTGTCTGTCGTCCACAGTCAGCGCAGCACCATGTCCCAGTTCTCTCTGCCATACCGTCCCCTCCTATCCCTGGTGCAATCTCTTCTACCGCCAGGTCCGTGTCTCCCTCCGCGCCGGCACCCGCCCTTGACATCGTTTTCATACAGATCGTACACACCCACGTGTCGCTCCTCGCCAACGTGTCCGCCAACGCGCCAGAGGCCCCCGTCGGTGTCAACCCACAGTGCGGTATCCTCCGCGTCGGCGCCGACGGTTCCATCGGCAACGTCGCCAACATCGTCGTCTGCGCAGTCAGCATCCTCTTCACCCTCTTCTTGATCGTATGGACGAGTAGGAGAAGGGCCGCTGTCGGTGAGTCTCTCTCTTTGCTCTCCCTGTGGGTCCCTGTGCTTTTCTGTGGTCGCCCCGTCTTCGCCGCTCGATGACGCCCTCCCCGCGCTGCTTCCCGAGCCCGTGCTATTCTCGGAGGCGCACATCCTCCGGCCATCTAACCTGCCTTCCGTCCCTCCGCCCGCCTCGCGTGGACGCCCCAAAGCACGACGCCGACCGGTCTTTCGTCCGTCCCACGCTACTCTGCGCCGTCTCGACCTTCTCCTTATCGTTCTCGTGCACACGACGGAGGCCTCTTCACACTTCCCAGTTCTGTTTCACTATCTGGGTCTGTCTCGCGAAGCTCGTCCCTCTCCAAAGCGATGGCCGACACGTCTGCCGTATGCTCGTCTTGCTCTCCATTTCCACGCCGGAATGCCTCTGTCTTGGCACCACCCACTCCACGGTATCGCGACTTACGCCCCTCGCCGACGCCCTATGCTCTCGGCACTGTGCGGGCTCACGAGACCACGGCTCTTCCCTCTCTGCCGGTGTTCGCGGACACCTTGGCATTTCTGGAAGTCGCGTCCCGATGAGAGGGCTCAGCGGACGAGTGGGAGGGCTCACCGGTGAATAGGCAGGAAAGCGCGAAGACGGGCGGGCACGCGGGAAGACGGGCGGGCGGGAGAGGGGGCAGATGGGCAGGCAGACGAGCGGGAGAGCTCGCCGATGGATGGGCAGGAAACCGGGGAAACCGGGCGGGCAAGTGGGCACGAACGGAACAACACGTGGACCAGCACAACACGCACATCGACCGCGAGCGCACTGGGCGAATGCCCAGTACGCAGACACGGCCGATGAACAGCAGGCGGGCAAGTGGAGGACAAGAGAGGGTGGGAGCGCATGCAGACAGCACGTGCAGACGGGACGGGTGCGGATGAAAGCGAGCAGACGAAAACGAGCGGACACTTCCGTCTGCGGGTGAAGCATTGGCATGGACGCGAGGGCGGACGGAGGGCGCATGCGCTATCGTTATGAGCCGGACGACGCCAAGCTGGACCTCTTCAGCCATACGTATGTGCCGAGACCTAACGCTTCGCGGAACACTTTGTGCGGAAGGTACTGGGGTATTGTCTCTTTTCTGATTTGTTTGCTCACGAAGCCCACAGCTTCTGATACGCGCCGTATCAAGAGTACAGTTCGAGAAATGGCAAAGGCACCGCCAATAATCAGGCAATTCCTTGTTGACTAACCGCGGTACGACGATAACCCTCCCTACCTGGTGAGTTGGGCGGTGAAATGCGCTCTTCGCACATCCACTGATCCGTCTTGCTACTCCAGAGATATATCTGCACGGCGATATCTGCACTGGCCTGCACCACTATCTCTACGGTGCCACCAGAGCGTGGTGAGTTCAACGCGACCGACTTACAGACGTACCACAATATGGTCCCTATCGCCGTCGTGTGGTTCGTATGATGGTGTTCGATTACCTCCAGGGTCATCAGGCAACATGCAGCGCAGAACACATGCCTCAGTCTTGCACTCCTCGTATTCATGGGCTGAGTGTCTGCCCCAGTTCTGCACTTTTCCCAGTGGTGGTCATGCACCCTTGCTCATGTCCTGGTTCTGCATCCTTCGCGCCATGTGTAGCTCATGAGCTGTACTGTAGCAGAAAATATATATATTGTGTTTCTGTACTGGTATCGCTCTCCTATTAAGGAAGCTGCCTACCGGCGAACTAGCGCTGACCAGCAGCTTCTTGAACTAGACGGCGAACAGCATGTGAGAACAGCCGTACCGCCTTCCGCCTTCCGCCTTCCGTTCCCACAAGCCTTGGAGAGTTGTTGGTATTATCTCTTCCTGCCCTTGTTCTCTACGTTCGCCATGTCTTCTGCTCACCAGACCCGCTCCAAGGATGCCAATACTGTGCGGCCCAAGACCGCCAAGGCCGGAAGAAAACCACAGCCCAAGGGGGTGAAGGGCAATAAGGTGACAATGGACGAGGATGATGATGAGCTCACATTGTCTTCAGCGGAGAAGAAACAACTGGAGAAACTAACTTCCAAGAAGCGTCGCATTGAGCAACAACAGGCTGCAGCGCTAAGGTCAGGTACGTATTTTATTCAATATATACAAGGAATAAGCTCAAATCTTAGCACACGTACTACAGGCAGACGCAAACGGAGCGCAGAAATGGTCATGGAAGAAGCGTCTGAGGATGAAGATGAGGGATTGCTTCAGCAACGCCAAAGCAAGAAGTCCAAGAAAGCACAAGACATAGACGCTATCACAGCGGATAGTGGTGACGGCGATGGTGACAGTGTGCAGGGAGGCATGGAGGTTGAAGAACAACGTGGATCTGACGATGCACAGGAGGAAGAGGATGAGGATGCAGGCAAGGAGAAAAGTCGACGTAAGCAGCGTACGTGTGCCCTTCACATCGCAGAACGTCCAACATTGAACGCTTACCACCTGTCATGGATTGCAAGCCAAGCCTAGGCCGGCTTACAAGGGCACGCAGGTCGAGGATAACGTTGAGGAGAATGAGGAGGACAAACTAGAGGAGGGGGAGCGTGAGCTTGCAAGGAGTCTCCGTGAGTGCAACCTTAACACCTGGACTGTATCGCTGCATACGCTTGTACATATGCAGGAGCCCCTCTGTCGAAGAAGAAGACGCCAGCCTCCCCTAGCAAGGACAAGGGCAAGGCGACGAGTACGAAGAGTTCAGCAGGCGATAAGTCTTCCCAGGGGCGTACGAAACCTGGACGTCAAGTCATGGAGTCAGTGACTATCATAAAGACTCGTGGCGGCAAGGTAAGCGTTTCATACGGCACGTCCTGACCACATACCTCACAAGGGGGTTCCTAGACTGTTGGCAAGGGGAAGGAGCCTGTGCAGCGAGGGAAGGAGCCTGTGCAGCGAGGGTCCAGGTCCTCCAAGGCGGACAAGCCAAAGCCCTCGTGGTACGAACCACTGTCAGCATCGTCAGGGTCGGAATATGGAGGCGAAGATGGCGGTAGTGAATCGAAAGAGGATGAGCGTGAGGTTGATATCGATAGTGATGACGACGTCGTGGTAAGTCCCTCTGTCAATGCTTACTTGAACATGCCATGACCATTATGATGGGTACGCCAGTTGGTAGACAAGCAGAGCAGTGCGAGCAAGAAGGGCAAAGTAGGGCGTGTCATTTCATTGAGCAAGGAGAAGGGGAAGCGCAACCGCAACCGCTCCCTCGTCATGGCCCTGCCTGACGCTGTTACCCCAATCAGAAACCTAGGGACTGCGTACCTCAAGCTCCACATCGCCCTGGAGATGGCCTGGGTGAAGTACACCAGCAGCAGCCACAGCCTACTGATCGACAAGCACGAGATCCTCGAGAAGATCATGCAAGACGTTCGCCAGCATCGTGATCGTGCTGGACGCTGCCCTTCGGAGCTCAGGGCAGCGTTCAAAGAGCTGGGGGAAGCTGAGGATGCCGATGACCTCAGGAAGAAGCTCTCCGACGTCGTGAGTCAATTGTCTACATTATATCGTTATAATTGTGAACTCTAACCACCACGTCTTGTACAGGTGTGGCAGGGAGCGTCACAGATGAGAAACGACCTCAAGAAGAAGGCGAAGCAGGTCGTGGACGAGGCGTATGGCTTGGCTGGCTTGAAGGCCAAACGCAAGCAAGCCCTTGCCGTGTGGCTGTGCACTAGTCGTCGCCAGGCTCTGAAGGACGGTGGAAGCGTTAACGTACCCAATTTCATCTTCCCTGTTGTAGAGCTGGTGTGGGTCGACAACAAGAATGTCCTCGACGAGAAGGTGCGCTTTTTGAATGATCGACGTTAGCAGCTGATGCTTGAAGTTGATATCAGAGATCGGTCTTGAACCTGAGGAAGCCGTTCCAACATCCAGCAGTATCCAAACTCATCTACACGTTCTGGTTCGCTGGGGCTGGACACTCGGAGCTCAGAGCGCCTCGAGGGAAGTTCAGCCAAGTCCCTGATAATCTCATTGCCTTAGTCTGTAACACGGTAAGTGCCTATTGACCTTTGAGCGTTCTGAGTCACTCATACGTTTTCGCAAACAGTTGGAGGCTGCCCTCAAGGACAATTTGGAGGCCAACAACGCTCTTGACCAACAGTTCTCCAACAAGATTTACGCGCCGAAGTAAGTATATAGAATCAACGCATTGGCGTCACTGATAACACTGTTGATTTATAGGTGGGACGACCACATGAGACTGCTCAACGAGATCTCAACGTTGAACGCTGACGGCTACCGCAGCATTAAGGACAGGATCTGGAGTAGAGTCAGGCAAGTAACAACTCTTCAAGTTCCAAAGGCAATACTAACCACACGTTGCAGCTCCAAGATCAAAGAGGACGAGAACGTGATAGGTGGCACTGGAGAGGATGACGATGACGCCCCACAGAACCTCATCCCTTTCGACGACCTTGCCGTCAGTGGCACTAACACGGTGTCCGATAGCTCAGACGCAGAACAAGACCAGCTAAAGGATGAAGGTGGAGATCATGCTGGCAGCTCAGCCCAGCAAAATGAGGCGTCTTCTTCAAGAAAGACAGGTGAGCTATTAGGGCGTTACAAACGCTAGTAGAACTAATATGATTTTTTCTGTTTCAGGCGACCCACCGGCTGTCACTGTGATGCAGGCAACAACTGAGCCTGAGTCTCCAGTAGCTAGTGGAAGCGGCCAGGGCGAGCACGGTGCGCACGCCTGAGCATAACGGGGAGTCTTCCAAAGGTGAGCGACTTAACTCTGTAAGCGTAACCAAGACATGTTTTCTAACATCAATCATTCACAGTTGATCTCTAGTGTTTGTACGACGACTCGTGGAAACTGCCTCCTTTCGCCGTTGTATACGTATATTGTCCGATACCCTGTACCTATCTATCTGTGCTGTAACGAAGTGAATACAACCTATAAGTGCACCAACAAATGGCATGATAAGCTTGAATGATAACATACAAAGTGCAATAAGGGTCAGTTAGCAGCTTGCCTTGGCACACTTAAAGAGCTTGAATAGGCCACAACCAAGGACATCATTGGGCCCTTGACAAGTGCCGGGCGTGCCTTAGGCTACTTTTTATGTGGATATCAAGGGAAGGACCTGTCTTTGTGCACATGTATGTCTCATTGCACTCACCAAGGCACAATTGCCTTAAAAAGCCTTGCCAAGGCACCTAGATTTTTCCTGATGCTTGCTGAGGACGATGGAGAGAGAGAGAGCGCTGCAGAGATGCGTTGAGTAATGCATTGAGTAAGAGAGTTTCGGTGAGCGATGTGACGCGATACCTGCTTACCTTCTAGTTCTCCCTCCCAGATTCCCTGGCTCGGAATGGCAGGGAGATCCTTAGCGGGTACCCTGTAATGGTAAGGGTCAATGACGTGTCCGTCGTCTGAACCGGGGTCGGCGACGATGTGAGGACCGCGCCCGTGAACGTAACGTATGGTGGACATGAGGAGGGGGATATGGTTTGGTGCCTGAGCCTGAGGTATATCGAAAAGAAAGAATCACTCATCGCATAAGATTCTTGAGGGCCAAGTGACCGCCACCGGCGCCACTGGAAGCCAGCCACCAAGGCCTAGGGGCCCCCGGCTGCTGTAGAATGCGGGCACATGGAGGGAAACAGCGGCACTCACAACTTATCGTCCAATGACGATCTATCGAATCCGGCCTGCAACAATCAGGACTCGCGTGATTGGGACAGCACAAGGCGGCCTAATCGTCCTTCTTCACTCAAGAAGTTCAAAGTTCGACGGCGGTGTGAAAGCCCCCCCTATAGCCCAATCAAAACTCATACCTTACAGAGTCGACGGCACTCCGCACAACGTTTACTGCACATCGCTGCCCGCATCCCGTATACCGCCATTAAACACTTCGCCGTGTTCAGGCTGGCAATTGGGCCGATAGTTTCCTTATTCGGATGAGTGCGGTGACACCGCACTCATCCGAATAAGGAATTTGAAGGGCACCTCAGACCTGACAAGACGCAACATAGGTACTCACAAAAATCATTGCTAGTCGTAGGTAACACAATCTTCAAACCGTTCAATGCACTCACCTTTACTACAACCTCCAAGAGCAGAACTCAGGTAGGGCCTTTGGCAGAAGTGCGGTGGCGAATAAGAGATCGCGTATGGTCTCTACCAAGCGTCTGTATCAATGTGTAAACAAAAGGTGAGCGATGTAAGGGCGTGACGAACCAGAAGGTAAACTCTTGAATACGAATTATCCGGTGAGACAGAGGCACTGGTCGGTACAGATGTAAGACAAGACTTGGGTAGCCAAATCGTGCTTGAAGGCAAGCACACCTGGCCCTGGCGCAAGACGTAAGAAAGGCACCCTGGCGTTTAAACGCCGCAGGGTGCTTGCGAATTACGGCACCGTTCTGAACGCAAAAACTCACCGTCATCACCAGGCCAGAGCCTCAGCGTTCTGCGCAAATAGGTGAGTGTATTTATCCGCGGAATTCTGGTTTTTGGAGGCGGATTCACCTTGCACGTAGAAGCTTACTAGGAAGAGTAGAACATGCCGAAGAGATCGCGCGGTTTGGCGAATCTGTTCGCACAGACCTGCGAGGCGTGTTATGGCTACTTTGACACCACGCAAGGCCTAATGGCTCACCAGTCAACCAGCCGCCAATGCCGCTGGTACAAGAAAGGAAAGCTGAGGGAAATCTTCGTGGATTCTGAGGACTCTAGCAGCGAGGATGAAGCGGTGGTGGATGCAAAGAAGAAACGCGGTGCAAAAGGGAAGGCGCGTGCTGATTGTAGGTGAGTACATACCTAACTTTGCCTTATAGAAGTGTCGCTGACCTTTTGAGAGGCATACGCGCTCACCTACTCCTGCAGCAAGCACGTCTAGTGGTATAGCTCAGGACGGCGCACGAACGGACGAGACCGCCGGACCGTCATTTGTTCGCTCCCACACAGCGTTCGAGCGAGAAGATCGGGACGAGGACGAGGAAGAGGACGAGGAAGAGGGCGAATACGAGGACGAGGACGAAGCGCAAGACCTCATCTTCGTGCCTACCGCCGGGCCGAGTCGCGCTGCAAGAACAGCAGAGTCCTCGTCAGCACCAGCGCGACGCACAGCCATTGCGTTGGATGACGAGGACGACACTCGAGTTGAGGTTGTAGACGAGAAGGCAGGGAGGGTAACTGGAGAGAGAGAGACCGTTCAAGAAGCTTGGCGCCGTCATCTCGCAAAGAGGAAAGAGAACCAGACGCAAAGAGACACAGGTGAGTACAGAAAGAGATTGAGCTGCCGTATAAATACTGATTTGCTTACCTTAGACGAAGACGAGTCTCCTAGACCATTATGGGAGCCGTTCGAATCCGAAACGGACTGGGAAATCGCCTCCTGGTGTATCAAAGAGGGTATCAGTCAAGGTGCGGTGGATAGGTTTCTCAAAATACCTAAGGTGTGTGCGTTTGTGGGCTCAACTTGAAGAGTCTGACAAAATATACAGGTCAAGGAGAAGCTAGGGCTCTCGTATCATAACACAAGAGCACTCTTGCAAAAGGTTGACTCCCTACCGGAGCGTGCGCGGTGGAAGGAACGTTGGCTTTCGTTCAAGGATCGACCTGGCGAACGCCACCTTCTGCAATTTCGCTGCATTATTGAAGCCATCAAGGCTTTGCTGGGCAATCCGGCTCATGCCGACCACATCGTCTATCGACCGAGCTGGATGTTCTCGGACGAGACGAAGAAGAACCGCATCTATTCAGAGATGTGGACCGGGAAGTGGTGGCACGCCGTACAGGTGAGTATTGTATTGATTACTCAAAGACTATGACTAACGTTGCCTTGGGCGCAGAGTCTCCTACCTACTGGCGCAGCGTTGGCCCCGGTCATCATCTCGACGGATAAGACTCAGCTCACACAGTTCTCAGGCAACAAATCGGCTTACCCGGTGTATATGACCCTAGGCAACATCCCGAAGGCTCTGCGACGTAAGCCCTCGGAACACGCATGCGTGCTGATAGGTTACTTGTCTGTAGACAAGGTGGACGCAACTGGGCTCACCGATCGCAAGCATCGCGCTCTGGTCCAGCAGCTGTTCCACTCATCTGTCAAGATGATTCTTAAGCCTCTGATCGAGGCTGGGAAAACAGGGATTGACGTTACCGGGGGCGATGGAAAGGTTCGCCGCGTTCACCCCGTTCTCGCGTCGTACGTAGCAGACTATCCCGAGCAATGCTTGGTGACTTGCGCCAAGTACGGTACGTGCAGCATTTGTCAGTGTCCCGAGTCCGGTCTTGGGGAAGACGCACCGAGAACTCCACGTCGCCAGATATGGACGCTTGACGTGTTACGCAAGGCGAAGGCGAAAGGAACGAAGGGCTCGGCACCGTTCTTCAACGCGTGCAAAGAGTTTAACGTCTCTGGCTACGTCCTCGAGCCCTTCTGGAAAGACCTACCCTATACCGACATCCATATGTGCATCACCCCCGACGTCCTCCACCAGCTCTACCAGGGCGTCTTCAAGCACATCGTCGAATGGTGCGGCGACTTATGGACGAGAAGGAGCTCGACGCCCGTATCCGATGTCTTCCGCCCGCGTACGGAACTCGACATTTCAAGAACGGGATTTCCTCGCTCTCGCAGGTGTCCGGCAGCGAGCGCAAAGACATGGCCCGCATTCTTCTGGGGTGTCTCGTAGGTCGGGTCCCTAGCGCTGTCATCCACACCTTCCGCGCGCTCCTCGATTTCATCTACTTAGCGCAGTATCCGACGCACGACGAGACGACCCTGTCGTACATGGACAACGCGTTGAAGACCTACCACAAGCACAAATCCATCTTGAAGACCCTCGGCATCCGTGAGCACCTCGACATCCCCAAATTCCATTCCCTACACCATTACATCGACTCTATTCGTAATCTAGGAACTACTGACAACTATAATACCGAGATGTTCGAACGCTTGCACATCGACTGCGCAAAAAAAGCGTGGCGAGCATCCAATCATCGCGACGCACGACCGCAAATGGTCAAGTGGTTGGATCGCCAGGAAAAAATCGCGATGTTCGAGACGCTTCGCCAGAGGCTTCGAGAGGACTCCTGCAACACCGACGACTCTCGCGTCCCTCCAGAACCCCACCCTCACCGTCCCAGAACTGGGCTCATGATGCCCAAGCATCCGTCCGTCGTCCAGCAACCAATTCTGTCCATCGTGGACAGACATCGTGCTCGCGGATTCACCAAAGCGCTCAATCAATACGTGTACTCACTCAAACTCGGCCGTCGACTTACTCCTACGGAGCTGGACAAGGCAAGCTCGTACCTACCCTTCTCACGTCTAGACGTCTACCATACCTTCAAGTTCACTACAATTCCACTTACCGACGCTCAGCCCGAACGCGACGCTGTCAAAGCCAAACCGGCTTGCGGTACCGACGCAGCGCGATTTGACACTGTGGTGGTGTTACAGGGCGATGAAGCGGAGGCAACAGGACTCCAAGGTGAGTTCACAATATCAGATCATGCTTACGTTTCATGCTTACATGCTGCGAAAACTCTAGGTACTAGGATAGGGAGGGTGAAGGTGATTTTCCGCCTCCCTTCGAAGATTCGCCAGCATGGGACGATGGCTGAGATGGAGGCACCTGAGGAATGGGCCAATGAAGGTCCATTGGCCTACGTCGAGTGGTTCGCCAAGCTCCCTGCCTCAGCGGACCCAATACACATGATGTACGACGTGCAGAAGATGCCGCTGAGAGCGGACGGGACTTCAGCGGGGGAGATCGTGCCGTTGAGAACTATTCGTCAGTCTTGTCAACTGATTCCTAAGTTCCCAAAGCCTACATCCGTTGATTTACCTGCACAAGTACCTCAAGACTGGAGCTCGGATACTGTACTTGACAAGGCCAGTAAGTTTCTATTGAACAACTGGAGTAGTAAATACTCGTATCAGACAATATGGTAGCCTTACGAATAATGATTGCGTTGTACACTACAAGATCATTAAGTACTACAACCGTCAAACACTTGGACTACTCATGCATCGGAATACCGGGAAAGCTATATTGAACTCCCGTCCGTTCGTCCGCCCGGTCATTCATCCGCCCGTTCATTCATCCGCCCGTTCATCCGCCGTTCTTTCGTCTGCTCATCTGTCCGTCTACTCATCCGACCGTTTCATGGGCTCGCTCATTTATGTATGCGAGCGTCTGCGACAATCGCCCGCGTCGGAGAGAGCAGGCGCTTAGAACTTCACTCGCGCGCAACCACACTGCACACCGCTCAACCACACTCAACTTACCGCCATCGTACCAATCCACAGCCCGGAACACGAGAAGCTCGAGTACAACCCAGAGCGCAACGTCAATGAGCACAGATGAAGGTCATAGGATGAGGGGCGGGTAGGACGAGGGGAGTGATGAACGAAAGAAAAGCAGAGAGATGAAAACCGAAGGTGAGCGATATATATCTATTAACACCTTTCCTTGCTAGTCACATCGCTCCAGGAAGTTCATACATTGAACGAGCAATGGGCCCGCGGTGCCTACTTGCCACCAGTCTGCAAATGCCCATGTGTACATCCACACAGATGCCCTCTCGTCCTGCCCTCTTGCGCCGCCTGTTTTCCTCGCCG